TCCAGTAAATATTGGAGTTTTATATTTCCAATTTTAATACAGATTTTGAGTTTTATGTGACTTGAATTTCTAATCTTTCTGTAAAATAAGTAACTTAACTGTACATATTACATGTGTATCTTTTCTTCAGATACCAGATTTGATATAAATGTTGTAACATAGGCGTGTAGATAGTGGATACTGGATGGAACTGGTTTCTTTTATTGAGAATATAATTCTGCATGAAGACCTAATGAATCCAAACCTGTATCATGCCTGTGTGCATACCCACTTAAACACTGGAAATAAAATTGTTTTGGTGACCCTTTTTGTGATTCAGATTCTTTCTGATGAACGGTTCTGAAATTCACACTTATAAGTTGCAGTCAGGAACTGCTTTTAGGATTACCAAACCTGCAGTTCCTCCTGGATGAAGGACTTTTGTTTATGGGGCCACACTGTGCAGGTCAGCAGGTGAGAGAGATGCAGCTGGTTAAATGTTTTCATCTTTATACATGATTGATTCTAAGGTATGTAGCAAGTGGGTTTATTTTTAATGTGCAGGTTTTGTTAAGTCAGAATAACCATCAGCATCTGCCAGTCAGGACAATACTGTAGTTTGGGTCTTGGACTATTTATAATTTTAACTAAAAAAAATGTTTTTCTACCCTAAAAACTCATCTGTGTATAAGCTCTGTCAGTTATATTTTTTTTTATTGTATGCTCTTCCACACCTACTTGAAAACAAAGCAGCTGTTCATCACTTTGGGTGTCCCTGTGTCACTGTTTCTTGCTTGGCAGAGGATAAAACCTCTATCAGTGTGTCCATTTACTGCGAGGAGAAGGAACTGTGGTACTGGGATGTGTTGGCTGATGTGCTTTTAGGCTGACCTTATTTCATTCCCGAGTCCCTGTTACAGTCCTCTGCTTTGATCTGCTGTGGTTTTGATCCTTCTGAGAAATCATAAAAATTGGCTGTGAAGAAAAGTCCCAGATACAACAGCTGACCTCTATGAAAGTTCTCACCACATAATTGGGTGCACCTAATTCCAGGTTCCATAAAAATGAGCCATGTTCTTGTGGTCTCCATGCAAACTAAAATGTCTTTTCCTCCCGGAGCAGAGGGGAGGTGAGTGCATTAGCAGTGTTTGGGTGTGTGGTGTTGGGAGGAACGGGTGTGTTTTGTGAAGGGCAGAGGAACTGAGGATGGTTTTTGTTTCAATCCTTACAGTAAAGTGTACTTCAGCTTACTGGGCTTTCAGAGCACAGTGCTGTGATACCTCTAATGCTGTTCATCAGCAAGTACCCATTGTCTTTTACTGATCTGTATTTTGTCCCATCATTAGTCTCAGAAGCTTGTCAGAGGGTGCTGAGCATCCACAGGAAGTCACAGAGGTCTCTGAGTGAAGGACTGTACTTAGGGAGGTACACAGGGGAGCCTGGGGGTCTGCACCTTCCTCTGCTTTGACAGCCATTTTGATAGGTTAATTTCCATTTTGTTGTGTTTATAGATAATTGGTAATTTTACTCCTGAGCCCCGACACATGGCTGTCAGCTTTTGTCTTTGAGAGCATAGAACTGTAAATGTATTAAATGAAGAAGAACACAAGGTCATCTGAAAAATTAGGAACTTAAAAAACAAACATGCAAAACATGACTTTTGTTGACTGACAGTGCTGCAGGTACAAATGTATTTCACCTCATCAGCCTCCATGCTATTCCCTGCTGCTGCACTGGTAGCATGGAAGATGTAGGGGAAACCCATGACTTGGGGGGGAAAGATGCAGGGAGCATCTACCAGGGCCATCAGGGAGAGGAGGTTACTGAGCTCCCCCTGAAGAAAGTAGTGAGTGATTGCATATCTGAGTCTGGAAAAATGCTGTTTTTTCTGCTTCTTGAAGACTACCAAGATTTGGTTCACCTTAAATTTCAGCCAGTGTGGCAGCTGAGAAAATAGACATTTTTAGGAGTCATTGCTATGCCCTGATCTTAACTGCAGCTACCTCCTTAAGATAGACCCTTATTTGTCATGCTTTTTTTATTGTGTTGGGGATTTTTTTTTTCTTTTTCCCCCTCCTGTGGAAGAGAAGGGTGACAGTCTGACTCAAAAGGGAAGTGCATGCATACAGTAGACTGTCCTGAGGTGGATACTGTCAGTGTTCCTCTGGAAGCTGGATTCAGTGGGATGAGGAGCTCTGCAGGCTTGCCGAGCAGGTGAGGTGAGCCCTCCCCCCCAGCTCAGCCATGTGTAGCCAGGGCAGATTGCTCTGGGCTGGGGCTATGGCTGGGTTTTGACTATTTCCACAGCTGAAAGCTCCAAAACTTCCCTGGGCAAGTTGTGCCAATGTTTGGTCATGGAGCAAAAAGGGATGTTTTTTTTTATTAAACAGAATTTCTAAACATTGCTATTTGTGTCCATTTTTTGTTTCTGTATTTCATTAGAAGGATTCAGACAGGGCTTGGAAAGTACTTCTGGTCTGAGGACTGTTTGCAGCTGTGAAGCTGCAATTTTTTAGGGATAGGATAAGCTGAGATCTGATGGAGAAAAAATGTGTCAGTAGCAATGGTAGTATTTGGATTTTAAAAATGATTCCTAACGGTAATTCCTGCTTCAGTGGTGATCAGTGCTTTAGTCTGAATTGTCTGTCTGGAGCGTGGCAGCTGGAAGGTGCTGTGTGACTGCTTTTTAAGATTTTGAGGGGTTTGTTACGGTCCCCATTAGTATGGCTCACAGCACTGTTGATGTGGAATTAAGACATGGCCACAGTCCAGACAGTTTCATACCTTCTTTTGTACTGCTGCAGAGCTGAAGGAAAATTCTTTGCTGAGCTGCACATTAAGGGCCTCAGGTTCCTGTGCAGCCTCTGAGAGCCTCTCCACTTTGTTCAGGCAAGACAAAAGAGTTCGAAATGTGGCCTCATTTACTACAAAAAGCTGTGGTTTTGTTCCCAAAGCCAGGTCATAACACCATTCACATATAGATAGTAATTAACCAATTAATTGTGCCAGCCTTTGGAAAGGGGTGTAGCCTGAAGGGGAAATGGCTTAACGCTGGGCTGCAATGCACCCTGCAGTGGTGCACCTACCTGTGGCTCCCAGTCATGAGACTGTCAAAAATCTGCCTTAACCATCTGCTATCAAATCCATGAGTTTTTAAGCCTGCAGGAAGGGCTGCCTTTTGGAGGGGATCAGATGGGTTTTGGCCCTGCACACTTTATATGTCCTGCACATATTTCCCTGCTATATGCCCCTCTTTGGCTCTGCCTTCCCAGCGCTGTGTCCTGCCCAGCACAGGGGCTCTGTGCTGTGTCACTGTGTGGTTTTGCTGCAGTCCCTCCCTGTAGGAGGAACTGGCTCACACAGAGATGATGCTTACTCTGCTGTGAAGTCCTTGGCTGGCTCTGACTGTGAGCTCCTTCAGCTGCTTCACTGCTGGATTTCAGAGCAGTTTCACCTGTCCCATGGCTTGACCCAAACTTCAGTGGCAGCCACCTCTACCAAAACTGCTTTTCATAACCATTTTGCAGTGGGAAGCCTGTCTTTTTCACTAGTGTCCAGTTCGGATTTCTTCTGTGTCCAAGGACTTTATTTACAAACTTGATGGTTTTGCTGAGTGACAGCCTGTGTACAGCTCTTCCCTGCCTGTGTTTGTGAAAGCCTGGTACCTTCATTGCTGGACAAGCAGGATGGAGAAGGAATAAACATTGCCTGGCTTGTGACACCGGTAGTGCTAACTGTGCAGTGGGTTATGAGCTGGCTGAGCTGCTTGTTTCCTGGGGGTGCTGCACCCCAGCACTGAGCAGGTGCACCAAAAGTGCAGGTCAGAGTGTAGCTGAGGCCTCGGCTGGGTGTAGTGTTCACTGCCTGATGCGATTGTCACATCACCGGCAGTGAGCACAGCACTGCCTCACTGCCCGTGCACACCAGTGACTCTGCAAGGTCATTGGGTTGTTATACAACCACTGTCTGTGTCTAAATTCAGCCAGACACACAGAATGTGCTGCTGTAAGCCCTCACCTGCAGAGGCTCAGAGAAGCAGCTGTGGGAGCAGTGCCAGAGCCATGGGGGCCCCTGCCTGCCAGTGCCATGGCTCTTGGGGACACCTCACTGCCATTACAGACCATCAGTTATTGGTAAGTCACTGTTGTTCAGCGAGTGTCCAATCCTTGGGAGGTGTCAGACAAACAGCTTAGGAACAAATCCTGCTACATCCATTGTTTAGCTTGAGATTACATTTTGGCTGTGTAGAGGGGGAGCAGGGTACCCAGAGCTGCTGCTCTGTGTGTGCTGTCAGTTGCACGGGGAGCTGGTGACAAGCTCCAGCATTGGATCAGGCAGGTTCCCTTTGGAGCCAGGGAATCCTGTACGCCATGCGTGAGCAAGCAGAGATCAGAGCAGGCACTGGAGCCACCGGTCCCTGCTGCTCTGCCCTGGCTGGAAGGGACCTGGCTCCACTCCAGAGGGGCCCTGTGGGTGCTCTGACCATGCCTCATGCTTCGCTTTGCCTTGGGCTCCCCAGCCCCAGCTCGGCTCAGCCCAGCGCTGAAGCTCCTGTGCTGGGGATGGCAGCAAGCTGAGCCCGCTGGAGGCAGACTGTGTGCTGTGCTCCTGAGGGATGGCTCAGTGGTTACTCTCACCCTCTTGGAGGGATGCAGACTGTGTGCTGTGCTCCTGAGGGATGGCTCAGTGGTTACTCTCACCCTCCGAGGGTACCACCTTGGAATGATGCTTCTAGGAAACTTTCCTTTTCACAAGGGGAAATAAAACAAGGAATGCCTCAAGGGATGATACCTCATTCAGTCATTTTCATTGCTAGCTGATTTTCTAACTTGGCGTTCCAGCAACAAGCTTTAATCGACAGCAATTTGAAAGACCCCATTTTGAAATTACTAACTAGGTGTGGCCTTAATTTGGGGAAAATCAAGTCAGGTTTTCTCCTAATGGCTTAACACCCTCAGGCAAACAGCTGAACAGCCAATTGAGACCATCTGAAAAGTTACTAGTAACAAAATACAAATATATAAGCATGCAGCCCTTTATTTTTGTAAAGATCTTTGCTTATCATAGTTCTGTATATTACATTATGGTGTTATACAAATAAATTTATTTACAAAACCATTAGCTATGCAAGTTTTTTGCTCTTCTCCTATTTAACTGATATCCATCTTTTTCAACCCTTCCCCATATATATTTTTAAGCATGCATAAAAATTAACTTTGGTGTCGTAAAACTACTCTATGTGCCCAGCCACATACAGTATTTATTTATTTATTTATAGATATTTATAGATATGTACAAAAGTTTGCCAGTATACAGAACAGTACTGAAGTGTACATTTTAAAATCCACAATGCAATACATTAATGGGCTACCAGGTCTCAGTAAAATAAAAATGAAGGAAAAAGGGTGGATTGAGCTAAGAAAAAAAGTAATCAGCAACTATCTATATGTGTAAAACAATTTATTTTTTCCTTGTCTGTCAAATTCTTAAATATAATCTGAATGGCAGTGCAATAAGTTGAGTTGCCTCATACACACATAAGACCAGTCTTGTTCTGTTTCTTGTGCAGAGGTTTTACTGTCCAGCATACTACTTTCAAATGTACATTACAATAGTATCAAAATGTTTTGGCAAAAACATCTCGAAAGGAACCATGACATTTGTTGACAAAAATAGAAATCTGTAACAAAGCTAAATAACACCAAAATAAAAGAAAAATATTTTAGTTTCAGTTTTACAGTTGAATATAATCACACTTTAGTATATCTCTGTTCACTTCTAGACCTCATAATGAAAAATAGCTTTATACAAAACAACTTAGTAAATTTTTATCCATACAATTCCCCATGCTCAGTACACCACTGTGCACACGCAGTTCACTCACACACCTTCACACTTTTTTAAAGAGGTGCTGCCCATAGAAAGAAAATGCTCTTTTATCAGTACAACAGCAACTGTTTTCCAAAAGCTTCACTCTAATCTAGTGTAGTGATTCAGTATTTAGCACGTGATTAGTATTAAGCCTCCAGCAATACAACAAAATGGTTACGTTCCCTGGTTAAAATATTGGCTGCGGATTCTGTGAACAAAAAGCCTCGGTGACCTGGCAGGTGTGCTGTGCTTAGCCTTTAGGATGGCTCCTTGACCGTGGATGGGGCGGACTTGCTGGCATTCCCGTTCTGTGCCTTGTAGCTGTTGAAACTAGGGGTGTGGATTGTCCTGATGCTCTTCATACCTTGGCTCAGGGAAGGGGGGGAGATAGAGGAGGGGGGGGAGGTAGAGGAGGAAGGAGGGGGTGGTCGGCCGTTCTGAGTCTGCAGCGAGAAGGAGAGGTGGTGACCTTTCCCTGGGTAAGTGGGGCTCTGCAACTTGGAGGAGCCATTAGAGACAGAGGGGATGAGGGAGGTAGAGTAAGTTATGCGACCTGTCTGAGGACCGAGAAGGGAGGAGGAAGGAATGGAGGTTTTAGTAGGTGGATTAAGAGGGTTAGAGCTGTCACCGCTAGAAGCAGGTGCTGAGCTGCTTTTCCCAGAAGTGGGAGAAAAGGCTGGGATCTTAGAAGCAGGTAGGGTAGGAGAAGTAGCCTTATAGTCCCCACCAGCTTTCTTAGCACTTCCATTAGCCTGCAAATAAAGATGTCAGGAGACAGTTTGTCATAAAGCCGGTAACATGATAAACCAACAGGACCTGGGAAAACAGCCCTACAGAGAATCAGAACTAACAGTTCGAGGCCTTAGCTAAGTCCTGCAGCCATGGACTGGACCTGGTAGAAAACCCAAAGTGCCCAAGGGAGAGTGCATAGAGAAAGAGCCAGGAGAGCTGTGTGAGAAGGCGCGACCTACGTGTTACAGAGCAGGCACTACGTCGGCCATGCTGGCGGAATTAATGCGAGAGGGACGTCCCGCCGCGGGTTAATGTGCACCCACTGCCACCTACACCAACGGGTTAGTGTCCAGGGCTTCCTGTAAAGACTCTGAACAGAAGCATTCCCAGTTCTCCTACAGAACCACCACGTTAACCAAATGGAAAGTAAACAGGTAGTTGACATCTCAAAATTACAGGTGAATACCGCAGTTAAAAAAAAAAAAAAAATTAAGAAAAAAAAAGCCAAACCCAATAAACAAACAGACAACCCAAAACCCAACCAAACAAAAAAAAGCAGCAGGTGTTTTATTGCAGACATGCATGCACAAGCATGGTGAAAAGATCAGTACTGTCATGCCCCCAGGATCCAAGATGTCCATTTTGACCTCAGGCATCCGATATTTGGTATAATCTCAGTCAGTTACTGGAGTTTTTAAATAAACAAACAACATGAAATGTCCATCCAAACAGCGGATTTAGGGTAAAACTACCTGTCTGTATTGGCGTGGATCCTGCAGCTTGTGCTGTTTGCCTGCTTTCTCCATGCTTCCCTGTCTAGTTTTTGAAGCCATGGGGACTGGCATCCGGCTTGTCTGGGAGGCAGCGCTGGAGCCCTGCGGAAAGGAGTGGAGGGGCAGGGAGGGGAGACAAGAAGGCGTGGTCAGTGCGAGGGTGCCTGAACAGAGGACTGCACACCATGCGCCGAAAACAAGCCACAGTACTACATGCAGGGAAAGTTCAGGAGCTTCACACCGCAGGTGTTAATTCCAGAATCAAATGGAGAAAACTGCTCAGCTACTGCTCAGCCTGGATTTCATGTCAGTGACACTTGTCATTTCACACAGCGGATTATTCGACCCAGCTCCCCTGCATTTGCCCATCACCAATCAGCAGCAAAGATTTTTAAAAACCCCAAAAACCAATGGTCTATTAGCTGTTAGACACCTCGTGGGGAGCCCAAACAAGCCACCTGAAAGGAAGCAAACAAATCACAAGACCCTCTTGTTTAATGGTGATTATTGCAGATTTTAGAAAGCAGCTGGAGGTTTGATTTCTCGGACTAAGGTACCTTACGTGAAGTGGCTGGGAGTGATGCAGGGGGCTCTACACCAGCAAGGCTCTCATCCAGCACTACATGCTCTCGGGATGGGGTCTCTGGTACTATCTGGGCAGAGAAGGGGACAAAGCTTCCCTCAGAGGTGTATGTGTTTTCAGGGACAGGTTTTGGACTCATTTCACTGATGGTGTTTTCCAGCTGCTTTATAGTCTGCTCAAGGCTGTCTAGCGTTCTGTATGTACTCTGTCGAATTTCATCAGTCCTAGACAGGGACACTGCAGCTCCGAAGGGTCCCTCTTGCTTCCCAGAAGGACTTTTATCACTCTCCTCAGACTGAGACCTAGTGATTTCAAATCTCTTTGCTTCCTTGTGCTGCTTCAGGGTCCCATCTTCCTCCTCTTCTTCATAGACCACAACCTGCAAGGTCTTCTTCCCAGTCTTGGTTCCTGTCCGTATTGCCTGCGTCAGAGCAGCCAGCTGCTTTTTAGGGAATTTAAATTTAAATTTTTTCTTAGAATCCTGCCTGCTTGCCAACTGATCGGCAGAGTCTGAGTTTGCTTCTGTGTTTAGCCCATAGATCTGACGGTATTTGTTGAAATTTGTCTTTGTGCTTTCCTCCTCTGCAGGAGGTCTGCCTTCTGCAGAGTCAGACCGAAGGTTAAATAGGTATGGCCCCTGAGGACCATGAGCTGCAGAATGCTCTGTGGTTGCTTTTCTGTCATTAGCTACTGGTGACTCTTCCTTCTGCCTCTCAGAGACTTCACATACTTCATTTTCTTCCTCCTCTTCTTCTTCTATTTTTTCATCTGTCATCATTTTTTCCAATTCCTCATCACATTCCTCAAAAATGGTAGAAAGCCGTTTGTACGCTGACCTAATATCCATCGGTTCATCAAAAATGATGATGACAGGCTTTTTGTCCAGACACACCACAGGCTCTTCGCTGTCCATGTTCTCGGGGTTGCCCTTCTCAGATGCCACATCCTTCCTCGCGTCGATGTTGACTGTTTGCACATCTCCTCCTTTCTGGCTCACTATGTCGTGAACTTCCCCACTCGAGAGCACCTGCACAGCTGTTTTGGTAATCATGAAGGCAATGTTTTCTGTGGGTGGGTTGTCTTCACTTGGAGAGCTGGCTGGAGAGTCTGTCTCTTCAATGCTGTTTGCTCTGGACACTTTGGGTCTCAGCACAACCTGATTGTAGTTGCCTGCAGACACTTCTTGCTCCTGCAAGGAAGGCTGAGGCCCCGCAGCCTCCTGCATGTGCCTCAGGAGAGGGACAACGCTGCTGATGGGGATGTGCTTGCCTGTGCTCTGCAAGGCTTCACCCTGAGGCACGCCCTGAAGAGCATCTCTTGACAGTCTGTAGTTTGGCTTTTGTTTTCCAGTCTCAACGGCTGGAAAATGTGATCCTAAGATATCTTGAGCCCCTCTTCGTGTGTCCTCCTCTGGCAAACCAATGCCAGACAGGTTTGTGCTCATATTCTGAAGGTTTTTGTTAGAATAGTCTGTACTGTCTACAAACAAACCCTTGCTAAATGTAGGACTGTCATTCATTGAAAAGCCACTTTTACTGTCAGCTGTACTGGATGAATCAGAACCCAATTCTTCTTCAGTTCTCCCTTCCCTCTTCTCTTTAGGATGGTCACTATCTTTGGGAGATCCTGTTGTAGCCCCATACACCTAAGGGGGAAAGTTGGATTACTTAGTTATTCAGGGCTTTTATCTTTACAGGACTTTTATTTTCCCCCAGGATTAATCTCAGGGGAAGCGCAGACCTCGTGAACTCACCACTCCATTTACTGCTGCAGAGACATGTCTCAAGCTGTCATCTGATTCCTGTCTTTCTTCAGGGCAAAATTCCAAATTCTGGCAGAACAGTGCATGATGTTACTGCTTTGTGCTATGCATTAGGTCAGGATGGGATGTTACCTTGTTTTAACAAGGCCTCCAGTATGCATAAGCACATTAATTACCTTATTTCCAACACAGTGCTCCATGACCTGTTCACCTTCCTGCTAAACCCCTCCAGCCCCCCCATGTTTTTATAAGATTGAAGCTGAAAGTCTCACAGTATCTGGTCACATTCTGCTGGGACACATCAAAGGGAGGCTGACATGGAAGAGCTGACAGCAAGTCTGGCTTGCCTTGAAAGGAAGTTTTATACCAGTAAAAGCTGATTTTCAAGTTACATTTTGCTCCTTCTAATGTTGGTCACACCTGAGCAGTGCTGCTCCATCACAATTAGTATCATTACAGTCTGAGCACTTCTAAATCCTGTCTGCAGTTTAGAAGTATTTCATCAGAATTACCAGTGACACCCTGTGGTGCCTGTGGAAGTGCAGAATGAAACACTGAGTTACATTCACCTACAGCAGAAATGCCGAACACCAAACAGAGAGGACATCCACTGGCTCAAAAGAAGTGTGTTTATTCCCAGCAATGAAACTTCAGGGTACTTTTTCTTTATTTGCAAGTGAGGACCCCTGGAAATGCTGTTTCATAACACCAGGCTTTACTTTGGGGTTTGGTTTAAGTGCTAGTGACAACTTAGGAGAAACAGCAATCATCAGGATGAAGGACTGACCTGAGGAGACACCAGGACTATGAATAAGAGAGAAATCTACAGTCAAAAGACAGCTCACCAAGAAGGAAAGTAATTTGGCCTCAAGTGCCTGAAGGCGGTGAACCAAAAGCAATAACGCTGACATTGCCTGCTTGAGACTAGAAGCTGACTCCTAACACACCAGAAGGACAGATTATACTTATGTGAGCATCCAGACATGCAGAACAGTCAGGAGCATTGCTCTCCCAGCTGAGATGGATGAGTGACGGTGCAGAAATCCCCAGGCTGGCTGTGCATGCATGCCCCATGCATACAGAGGTTCACCAGGTATAGTTTCTACACCTTATGTGACATTTTCTTATGTGCTGTTGGAGGATTTTACAGAAAAACTTGACTCACAATCAAACCACAGAAGCAAGAAAGCCACTCATACACCAGAGTCACAGTTCACCTCCACAAAGGCTTGTTCAGCAGTAACAAGGATGAACAGCTGCTTCCTCACATTTCTAAACGAGGAAGAGCTCTCATACAAACCAGCACAGCAGCAAGGCCTCAGTGGGCAGGCTGACAGTCTGCATGTTGTGCTGAGAGGCACATTGGGAACCAAACTCCAGGGCTTGTGATCCCCTCAGGCCCTGACCTGCTCAGTGCTCAGCACCTCCCAGTCCCACAACATGTCAGACACCCCAGAATTAGGCCAAGTGACCAATGGCACTTGTTGCCTCTGGATATGCTGACTGTATATCTTTTTTTAACATGTTCCACTTCTAGTTCCAAGCATCAGTGAAACACCTCACAGTGTCCTTGTACAATGTGTCTTATTTTTGGAACTTCTGCTTTTCTACTAAAAAAATAAAACCACAACAAAACTAATTTCCTCAATGATTTTATCGTGACCATAATGTTCCATATTTAAAGCCAATAAACACTCTGTCATGTCAGATTACAAAAACAGATCTCATTAACCTTAATTTCCTGGACTCTGTGTTATTCAAATAAACATCATTTTATGGCAGTTACTTGGCAGCACCTTTCAAAGAAATGTTTGTGCTACAGGATATGCAGTGTCCTGATTGATGACCCAGGATTTCATGTAACAATACGATCTTCTCATTCTGACAACAGCAGTAATGAGGATGAATTCACACTTTTTTTTTTTCTCTGTAACACTGTCATACACACAGAACAGTTTGTCCTTTTTCCCTCATACCCACGGACCTGTACCCTCACTCAGCCAGCTGTTTGCAGCTTTAGACCAGAACTGCTGTTTGGGCAGCTCCAGCACAAGTCCTTAAGTGCAATGCCCTGACCTGGCAGCACTTGCATACACACACAAAATTCATGAGGAGGTTGAAATGCTGTGCTGAAGAGCTGTGTGTCCTTCCCCACCATACCCACCTTCACTGCAAACTCACATTTGGCTGACAAGTTGTCATGCCTGCACAACCCCTAACGCAGCAGTGATGCAATTCATTATTATTGAACATAAAAAAGAGGTCTGCACGGGCAGAAGTACTTGTCCTTTTCTTGTCCTGCACATTGGCTGCATGCTAAGTCAAATCAACTCAGTTGGCAACTGCAGTCCACGCACAGCTGTGAAATTTAACCTTAACCTGCCTACAGCCCCAGGCACACAGCGCCTCTTCTCAGTCCCGTGACTGAATTTTGGGCATTAACTTTAAGCATAAGGGCAAATTCCTCCCATCCACTTTGACTCTGTCATCCAATAAACTGAATGGGATTTCTGAATATCTAACAACTATTTCTGGAACCAACAAATGAAACAAAACAAAGCATACAAGCTCAAATTGGCTCCAGAGACTGAGAGGAAACATTAACTCCCCCCAAGCTTAGGAGAGATGCTTCACCATCCATCAGCAGAACAGCTGGGGAAGGATGCTCTAAGCAGTCTGAGCATCTCTGACAGAAACTGATGGGTCCTGTTTTGATTTCGCAGAATGATAAAATTTCATGCAACCATTGTACTGTTGCTGATGAGACACATAATGCAGTTTAATATAGAGTTCTGTGTGAGCATTTCTGAGCCGTACAGAGATAAAAGGAAAGAAACTGCTGGGCAGTGGTGGGTGGGGGTTAAAGAGAACAGGATACAGGATGTAAGATTAGTTTTGAAGGAAAGAAGGTTATGCCAAGACTGGGTGGCATGTCTACAATTGCCACTTGTTACCTTCTTTTCCTTGTGATGAATTAAAGTCCCAGGCCTTATGTCTTTAACATGTGTATCATTTCTGGACTGTTCAGCATGACTGTTTGAGTTTACATCCATAAAAGAGCACTTCTGGAAAGCCTAGGAAATAAATACTACAGGTTATCAGGAGACCAAGAACTCTTACACAGAAATATCTGGAGATGACCAACTACAAAGAGAGCACTTCTTGTTAACAGTCACAGCTCAACAATGTTTTCTACAAGCTCATGAGATAATAACAGAGATTTCAGACTATCAGATTAAGAGAACCAGGGCATCCCTTCCAGCCTCTCAAGACTCTAACACCGTGCTGACCTCAGTGCTCCCTGTAAGGAGGACAAGCTTGATTTCTGAATTTGCAGACAATGGAGATCCACAGAGGTGCTATCCAAACTCAAGTAGGAAGCCCATGACAAACTTGGGGCTTGTGACAGCACCTATTTCCTTGTGGCTGATAATGCAAGAGTCACATAACTCCACTTGTCCCACAGACTGTTATTGAAAGTTTAAACATGGAGATGTGCCTTTGTCACAGTCTTTGATAATGAGCCATAAATTGACTGTCCCAACCTATAGGCTTGTGGGCACTGGTCTCCCACCAAGCATCCTCCAGGGCATGGCTCAGACTTCTCAGACATTTATTTTGCTATCCTCCTTTCATTTCCTTTGAGTTTCTCTATCCAGCTGGCTCCCAGACCTGGAAGAGCAAAACTAGCACTGCCACTATCACCGTGCAGTGCAGGAAGAAAATGTGCCTCACCAGAATTTCTGCAAGCCTCTACTGCCACATGGCCTGCAGAAATGGAGATGTGCAGGGAGGACACGGCGAAGGGGGGCAGTGCTCACAGGAGTCAGACAGTGCAGTAAGATTTTATTGTTATACCATATATTAGGGAAATTATTTGATTCCTGGCAACTCATGAAATTAATAGCCCTAATTACAGATTGGAATCATGCCTGTCCTTTAAATACTGTATTCTTTATATGTATTGCATGTTTATGCAAAATCAGAAAAGTAAAGATAACAGAAAAAATCCAGTGCAAAAAATCAGGATGTAGACATTCTTCTGGTTTTCCATTACATCCCATTTGTATGTGTTAATAGACCAGAGTACCTAAGATGACATTAAACTAATAGAAAAAATAGTCTTGCTCCTCACAACAGAGGACATGGACTTTTCCCCAACTTACCCATTTGTGAGACCAGTGATGTGGGTTTGAATAAAGCATCCTCAAAGTCCTTCAGACTCTAAGTGTCAAAAAAGCTATTTCCTTTTGGTAATTTTCTTATCACCTTTCCCCTGAAATATCTGTAATAGTCTCCAAATAGTTTGAGCTACAGCCACTGATAACTATGATGCCTTTTCCTGTTTCATTAAAAATCTTCACATTGCACTCAAGTTTCTTCTGAACCTCCAACAGGTTTTTCAAATGGGAGGCACATGGGTACTTAGTCATGGATGCAGCAGCACAGTGTGTACACACTGATCACTGATCTTGTACACAGAGAGAAAAACATGGCATGTTTTCACATCTACACCTGAGGCAGACTCAATTTTGTGGCAGCATCACTGACCTGGGAGCTCCTGTCAGTTTGTTACTGTAACTCCTGTTTCTCCCCAAGACATGCAGTTGTGGCCTGGCCAACATGTTATTGTTGTTCTTCATGTGGAGTTTTTATTCAGCAAAGCATTATGACCATTAAATGATCGCTATCATGTCTCTGCTGTCATACTTCACTGATCTGAATCAAGATGATTTACACAGTAAGGATTTTAAATGTATTTCCAGACTTTTGATGAAAATACAGAGAGATACTGGGCCTGTTGCTGCTCCCTATGAGACCTGTCATAGCAGCAACACCTGCATCAAGGTCAGTGATTTCAAAAGCAGACAGGTTTCTATTATGCTGCAATAGGGGTTTTCTTGTATACTCTGAGGTTCCAGATTTTTATAACAATGTTGTGTGATGTTTGATCAAATGCCTTACTAAAATGTTTATAGGTATACACAATTCAGTTTAAGCAGTTGAACCTGTTACTTGATCTGAGTGTTGTTTCCTTTGACAGCTCTCTGTTCCACTGCATTGTGCTCACTGGCATAACTGTTTATGTCTGGCCTTTAATTCTTCAATGATTTAATTCCATATCTCATTTTCCATCTTTCTGCCTATGACTGACATCAAACTAATGAGCCTGTAGCTCTTAGATCAGGCAATTTGCCCCTTCATAAACATGGTATTCTGTTAAGCTTCTAAAATATACCTGGTATTTGGTATTGGTTTGAAATTAGTATTGCTAGCCCTCAAAGCTAGCATTTAAACACCCATTCCCTGCTGAATGCCATTCCCATGCCTATTTCTCTTCCTCAGCTTCTCTCAGCCCCCACTTTCCATACCTTAGCCTCCACTTCACTGTCCCCAGCTGCAAGGCAGAGGTTGCTTTCCTAGAGACAGAGATGCTGTGACAGCTTCTGTGTCCCTGTGGGAATCCAGGGCTTCCCTCTGGCTGCCCTGGAAGGTCTGGGACCCTGGCAGGGGGTCAGGAACCCCCCTGTACAGAGCCCCGAGAGACACTGTCTGTGATCTCTGTCCATGGAGAGGAGTTTTCAATCTTACAGGATGAATTACAAGCTCTGAGTGTTTGATAAGAGTAATAATTAAGTATGACACGGGTGCAAAAGTAAAAGTTTACGTTTCTAAATTAGGGGTTCAGAGGGGACAAGATGGAGGAATTGGGTGTGTCTTGTCCTTTTTCTCCTTCTTCATGCCCTCCATGTTTCACTGTAGTGTTGGCATTTTTCTATTGGTTTATGCTGGGGACACACTGTTCAACATAGATGATAGATATTGGCACATTATTGTAAATATAGCACAGGTAGTTTCTGGTATATAATGTTTGTACCATCCCACTGAGGGCAGAGCCCCTCACGCTGCCCTGCAGGACAGACCTGCGGCAGGGCAGCAGAACATGTTAGAGATAAACAGAATAAACAACCTTGAAAACAGCACAGACGAATTACGGCTTCTTTGGCAACGGGGCAGAAAGACAGAGACTTTCTACAATCTCGGAATCATCAATATCTCAGATTCCAACATGTCCCCAGCTCTGCTGTCTCACTGCTGTCATCAGCACACAGGGGGGGATAAGGGTGAATTTCTGCTCTCACTCTTGAAATCAGCACTGGTGGGTGAGAGCTGAGGGAAGGAGCAAGGTGCACCCCTCAGAACGAACAGCTAGAGCTCAGCTCCCACATCTCCTGTGCTCTGAATGTTCCCTGGGCAGCCCCAAGCCCACCTGTTGGCAGGTGGACAGCAGGGATCATCTCATCTTGCAACAGCATTCTAAAATACCAAAAATTATAGCCAGTTAGGCTGATCCACATCTCCCTTCCTCATGTGGGCATGGAAGAGGACAGAGGGTGCCCCTGGAAAGCTGGAGATCACTGATGGTAGCTGGAATAATTGGCATTTACTGCAGCATTTCCATCACTGAAGTGAACTGTCCTATGTGATGTCAAGTGAAGGACCAGCAAGAGAGCACTCTTTGATGCCACTGGCAGAGTGATGGACCAGTTACACCACAGGAAATGGCAATGGCTCAGTGCTCAAACATTCTGGGAAACTTTGGACCATAGCATAGCCCACCAGAAGCAGACCCAGTTATTCTCTGCTCCCACCAAAGCACACATGACAGAGGCTCTCAGCACCTTGCCAGTCTGGTACTGGGTGAGCAACACTAGGCCAGGGACGACCACACCAAATGCACACCAATGTTTTACTTGTCCCATTTGCATGTGCAGGCTTCTCCAGTGGCAGCTACTGCATTCTTGATCACTGTCTCAGCTCCAGACCTCTTGAACAAAATTTGGCAGTACTTTCAAAACGTGTACCACTCAATGCAACAAAGTGGTTCTGGGTCAGGCTAGCAGACCTACTGGAAATTGCACTGAGGCCCTAGAAGTGATATTGGGCAGAGGTGTCCTCATGTGCAACCCAAAAGGCATACCTGTAATTCTGCCATTATTTTATCTCCTTCCTCTTCCTCTTCATCTTTTGCAGCTGGTGTTACAGCATGCCCTGTGCTCCGAGAAAATGCCTGGTCCTCTTTAGGGGCTTTGGATTGTGCTATTTGCCCAGCATCTTCATTGCATTCCTACAAGGGGATGAGAAAGCACAGACAAATAATACAGCTGAACCTTCCTGATGCAAAGTAAACACCAAAAATTCAACACTAATGCAACTCCTCTCTTGCAAGGTCCCTCTTCCTGCTACTTCATCAGTTCAAAAGCAACCAATATTGCTGATGTGATTATATGTTCACAGATGAAAAAGCTTCCGAAATTGGACTTCCCACCACTTCCTTCCAGAACAGATGGGGAAAACAAGCCCAAAGAAACTAATTTGCAACATTTCTGTAAGAACACTCTCAAATCTGACCTTATCTTCCCCATCTGTTTAAGGCATGCTTTGTTTTTTGGGTTTTTTTTTTTAATTTTTAATCTTCTTGCCACTCCAAATGAAAGCAGCCTGTGACTTGCCTGCTGCATTGCTATGAGATAAGAGCAGCAAGACTCCTGTAAACAGAACTGATCAAATCTTACTTGCTCATTTGTCCTAACAGAAGTGCATCCTGGTGAGCAGTTTCAGTAGCACTCCAGGACACAGCTCTGCCTCAACTTATTTTGTGGTTTATAGGCCCAAGCCCGTGTCTTGTCTGCTTGCCAACCTCTCATCAGGAGTGTGGCTGCCTAGAGTATGAATCACCAAACCTTGAGAGCAGCAGCCTCTTTTCTGGCTGTGTAGATGACATCTCCTGATCTCGTTGTGGTCAGCCCTGACCCCGGCAGGTAACTGCGCCGTGGAGGCGGAGGAGGTGGAGACTTGGTCAGCTTGTCATTGTCCTGTTCTCCATCAGGAGCTTCTTCTGCAGGTAAACAGCAGCACAAAGTAAGCATAGGTGAAGGAGAGGAAAATAGTATTTGCATGCCTGCCTTAACTGGAAAGGCAAAAAAAAAGTCTTAAAAGGTCCTGTTGCTGAATACACAAACAGAAACACATTTGGCATTCAAGTGTAACTTGAAATGAAAGTAAACAGTCCTATACTCACACAGAGAAACTGGATCACTTCCCCCAGAAATTTTCAGCAAAACTCCTGTCCTCCAGGCAGCTGTGTCTGGGTGTAGCCGTCGGTGTACAAGTGGGATAGCAGAGCACACATGTGTGCAGGAGCATGTAAGGCACAGTTCTGGGTACCTGCTTACAGACAGTGCCCCTCAGCCTCCTTTGAGAGCAAGGCCACTGACATGGATACAGTGAGACTCCAGCCTGGAGGCTTCTCATTGTTCTCAGCAATTCTGAAGCAATCAGCACAGCTTTCTGCTCTGCCTGGGAGGTGCTGCTGGCAAGGTGCAAGGAGCTGAAGAGTTCTGTCCATCTCATAGCTGCACAACTAGCTAAGTTCACACAAAGGCTGAGTGAAAATGTAAGCAGTACTCTAGAGATGCCACCCTTGCATTTCAGTGAGTCCTCTCATCTCTGAGCAGGGCAGGGGATCACCAGAGGCAACTGCACTTGCTCCTCTTCTTAGGGGGTATTTATTTTCACTTAACTTGCTATCATTCTAGGAATGTACAGTTTTGCTTTTGAATTATGATATAAAAGCCCTATACATATTTTTCTAAGCCAAAAAGATTTAAATACCAAATGCAAAGGCCAAGCAGAGCCAGCCCTTCCTTTCTGAGGAGAGTCTTCCTAGAGAAGACCAGTTTCAAACTGGCACTGCCCCTGAGGATGCTGCCCCACCAGCTGCCACTTCCTCCTCCCCCCATCCCTGGACAGCATTATTTCCAGAAGCAGCATTACCCAGCTCATGAACTGCCCCTGAATGTTTCTGGTTACAGGCTAAGCATCATAAATATGGCAACAGCCACTGTTTTCACACTGTTGTTTACAGTGTTTGTTTCCAAGAGCAAAAGAACGACCTTTCTGCAGCCACTCAGTGTTATATAAACAGCTGGCATAAATATAATCCAGAAAGATAAAACATCCTGCTTTTGGGATTATCCAGCTGTTTAGGGCTAAGTGTTCCCTATGGGGAAATTATTGCATAACTGCCCACTCCTGTCAGGCTCCTGCAACACTCCAGCTAGCCCTGGGGACTGGATGGAGCCCTTGTGTGACCCAGTCTAATCTTTGTTTCCTTCTTAGCTCAAATGTTCTTTGAAGCTGCTTAAGCTTAAAGAAATGTTCAGTTGTATTAACTCCCTCCCTGGTTATCTGGCACTATGATGTAGGGCTTTTGCAAATTCCTACTCCTCTTAATGTGCACAACCCATTACCCTCAAACTGTTAGTGACCCTCATTGCAAGAACTCCAAGTTTTTCTTGCATTTAATGAGAGCAAGGTTGGATGAGAGACACGGAAGGCATGAAGAAAACATGATTCTTACAATCTCATTCACATCTCTGAGACACTCATCCATCTCCATCCTCAAAATGGGAGATAAAAAACACAGGTAAGAAATATTGTCACTGAGTGTAGCAGGAGCACTGGTTATTGAAGGCTAATCCCTCTCAGCCCCTTAGCTGGAGTCATTAAGGAGAGGCTGTGATGGGGCTTGCTCATGGTCAGTGCAGTGACACTAGGCTGCCCATAAACTTTAAACATTGATTTCTGTTTTATTTACTAAACCATTATATTTCTCCAATATAGATGGGAAGGAAAAAAATAAACTTTAGAGGAAAAAAATTACAGGGAAGATCTTACCTGTTGGTTTTTTTTTTCCTCCGGCAAATTTAAAGAGGGACACGAATGAAGGTAAATGAACAAATTTAACTCATTAAGCCTGAGACTGCCCATGAACAAAACCTACACTTTATGGAACCTTCTTTGTTGCCAAAGGGCTCAGCACTTCTGTGAACAAAATGGGAGTTGTTTGTCACCAGCTGTTTCACTAACCTGCAGCGTTTGTCAACAGGCACGCATAGATGGGAACCAATTGCTCCCACCACACAGACTTCTACTTGCACCAAAACAAATCCAAAAGGTTTCAAAATAATAAAGCCTGCCTTGAGGCAGTCTCTGCAGTCAGATAAACTCTCTTTAATGGAAGCTACTGATCACTCATCACTTCCAAAAATCAGGGCATTCTCACATATGAAGGCACAAAGAGAGATGAAGGAGACCAATTACTAATGTACATGCTAGAAAAAGATCACATTTTTCACGGAACAGTCCTGGTACAAAGATGAGTTAGACTCAAGACATTAAAGAAATACTTGCAGAGTAATGTGGAAAACTGTGTGAAGTGTGTAATTTTATTTTGCTTTGTGCTTTGCAGAGAAAAAGAAAGTGTTTCTTCATTGGGAAAGGTTCTGTGTGGAGAATGGATGGGACACAATCTGGCAACATGATCTTTCTGGGCTCTGCAGCTGAGCCAACAGAGGGCTCTGCTCATTTATGGTCAAAAATTTTTATGTATTTTATTGGTAGATAGGTGGTATGTCTTTTCTTATGCTGCTCAGTTTTCAAGTCTACAGTAGACTGGTACTGAACTTCACATCCTCAGTCACAGAAGAGCTGAGTGGTATATGAGATATTTAAGCAGATATTAAGGAAAAGTTTTGCTGTTCCTGTATTTATGTTACTGTTGCAGGATTCATTATGCACAACAGAAGGCAAATGTCTCAATCTCATCAAACTTGTTCTTAAATCTGCTGACTGCACACTGTGCAAAATTGTACTCTAGAAGTGGATTAGTTAACTATGTGACTTACAAAACTTCTCCGTTACTGTGCTCTGCACTTTTTAAGATGTCACAGCTCACTGCACCCATATGGTACTTATTTTCACAGACTTCTTCTAGTTATGCCACACATTATACAAGCTAATTGTGTTGATAGCCAGTAATCTCACTGAAGGGTGCCAGAATTCTAAAATTATTTTATGAGGTTCAACAGAATTTATTTTAAACATGTATGTTGCAAAACATCCAAGAAGCCAAACTTGGCAGTGTCAAAGGTACGCACAGAACAAAATGCTGGATCTGAAAACACCCCTCCCAAATTCTATATTAATTTGTCTACACAACCCCTAGGGTTTTATTTTTCAGCTTTTTACTATGTTGGCATGCCAACACCTTGAGTGCAGCATGCAGCTCTGACCTCCACAGCTCCAGAAGGACAAAGTCGAATTAAACAAGGGCAACTGAATCTAGCCTCTAGGAGAGGGAGCAGCTGGCCTGGATGGAGGGACCAGAAAGGCTGGAAGTTCAATTTGAAGTCTGTGGGGCAGACTCCAGGAGAGCTCCAGGATATTATAAAGGTTTATCCACTGCCTTCATAATTTTATGAATGAAATGAAAAACTGTTGTTTGCCAAATTAGGGATATTAGAGCTATGGAGAACTCAGTGAAGCTGGTATGATACCAGTTTAAAAGAGATGAAGGAAAGCTCCTTCACAAGATGGGAGCTTGCTGCCACAGCAAGAGGGTGCAAATTGTATAATCAAGTATAGGGGAATTGCTGAATAAAAGTTCTATAATGGATATGAAAAGGAAGAGATTTGGATACTCCCTTTAAAATCCCAGAATGGAATGGAATACTAGTAACAAACTGCAGAGTGCAGCTGGGTTCTGTGCTCCTCACACACAGCGTCTCCAATTGCCTGTTAGAGGCTGAGCTGGATGGACTTGCATATGGGTAAGAATCTAACAGCTGATGTGTGTTTGTCTAATGGGATAAATCTACGGTTTGGCTGAGGCATCTTTTTCCTCCTTGGATTTTGAATAAATTCAGACATGGATTTGTATGTTAAATTGTGAAAGAAATAGGACTGAAAGGACATCTCAGCATCTTGCTACCTAAGTAGCTCTACCTGTATAATTCTACTTCAGTGCTAGTCTAAACCATTCTGTCCAGTAATGGGGACCTTGCATCCTCCTCATTGCCTCATGCAGCTTCAGTGCTTCACTTTCCTCATCTTTATGAAGTTTTTTCCCTAATGCCTAACCTGGATCTTCCTGCTTGCAATTGCCAGCTTTTACCACCATTCTATCCACACATAGCAAGTTATTCTTGCTTTTTAAAGCACATTTTTGTGTATTCAGAGATTGTTTTGTCCTTCCTGAAGATCACAGCAATCTATAAACTGAAAATATTCTATAAAGTTGGAAAGAGAACCTCTCCTTCCCAGGTAGGTAATTCTTTAGCCCCATTTACTCTAGCAAACCTTACCTGAGACTTCTAGCTTTTCTGCTGCATCTCCTTTAGGCAGGGCTGCTGGCTGGGGAGGCATCTCCAGGTTAGGAATGGACTTCATTATATTGGCCTGGGCCTCTTCCAAGAGCTTTTCAAATTCCTTTCCATTATAGTGATCAAGGTTTTGTCTTTTCTCTTCCCACTTCTTTTCAGCTTTCTAGATAAAACCAGTAAAGCGTCTATTTATTTTTCTGATTTCCATTGTGAACACTTATTTAAAAATAAATTCCATGTGTAAACATTATAGGTCAGTATGGATAGATTCTTTCAATTCTAGAAAGCAACTAAAGGAAATCAATGAACAGTAATTGCACACTGTTCTGATTTGTATTGTGCTAGATTTGACACAAATACATGCCAGACTGACAAGGGCCACTGCTCACTAAAGGAACAAAGGCAAAATTTAAATCTGGGTCTCTGCCTCAATACATCATACTGGTGATTAAAGTGCCTGTCTATAATAAGACACAGCAGTTCACCTCTAGGTTTTCCAACTGGAAACCACTGGAGCTTCACATTATTTCACTTTTAATTCTCCATTATACGGGATATGGAGATTTAAAGAGTGAACGAAATCCACATATGCAAGTGTTGCCAGAGAATTGTATGCTATTGTTAAAAATAAGGTATTCTAAAATTTCTAAAACAGAATTCTGATTTTTTTTTCAATAAAGACAATTTAAAAAACACAGTTACCTAATTTTGGTTACATGTAAATTTTCTGTTGCATTTAAAATCATATAATAGTTTGGGTTGTAAGGGACCTTTACAGGACATCTAGTCCAACTCTTCTGCAATGAGCAGGAACAAAATTAGAGGGTATCTTCAGAAGTACAGTGTAACTAGAGGTTAAGTACATAAATCCCTAGAATGCATTTGAGAAGTCCCACCTGCAGCCTCAAGAGTGAGACTGGGAGCTCAGACCCAAAGAGAGGACAGCTGTTTGAGTAGAATACACCGTACCTCAATTGATACAGCTCGATTTCTGGTACTTGCACTGTGAATTTCCTCAATGAAAAGGCTTTGCATGGTGGTGCCATTGACAGAGACCTGTGGTGCTGGTGTGGCTTGTGTGGGCTGGGATCCTGCCGTGGGCTCCTGCGGGGCTGGGGTGGCTGAGGGGTGACTTCCTGCAGGCACAGCTTCACCGTGGCTGCCTGCAGAGGGAGAGCCCTGGGCGTGGGGGACCAGGGCTGCCGAGTGCTGAGACTGCTGGATGACAACAGGCGAGCTCTGCACGTGATGGACGGTCATGGCTGAGAAGGGGATGACTTCTGACTTGACCGATGGCACCTGGGACTCGGATGGGATCGCTGTGAGGTTTTGCTGTGCGTGTCCCTGGGTGGGCTTGTGCTCCTCTTGGCTTTTCAGAGTGTCAGCTGCTGTGGACTTTTCCGTAGCAGAGTATTGCACAGCTTGGGATGGATCCACACCCCTCAGCAGTCCTTCTGTAACATGTCTGCCCAGCCAAACAAACACAACAGCACATGGTCAGCACACAGGCCAGTCATCAGCAATATGCAACAATAAACTCTTGCAAAGAAAAAGCACCAAAATCAAAACAATCAAAATAGCAATTTTTTTATTACCCTGATGCCCTTAGTTGTATGATTTTATAGCTTTCTCTCAGAATCAGAAGCTCAGAATTTTAAAGAGGCTACTCTAATTCAGACGGTTTTGCCATCTAAGGTGTTTACAAACCTTCAGTGATGTACTGGCAGTTTCTCACCAAACCAGGAGTTGATTTGGTTTGCTGGGTTGATTTTAGAGTGAGAATGGAAATCAGTTGATTAAACTGTATACAGTGTATCTAGCTAAACAAGATGTTCCTGGACTAGAAACACAGAAAAGTGAAGCTACATATAATGAGAGGCAGCAGTCTGGCATGTTGTCAAAACAGAGCTTCAAATGAAGGTTCTGTATCAAACGATGCTTCATAAAAGGTCTTTCCTGTCAAGATGTGGGGTAGGTTGAGCTGAGGACATAAAGAAGCAACTATTTCTGGCAGCTAGCTGTGAAATGTCTGAGCTTCTGAGTGTTGCAAGCCATCAAATGCTGTGAGTTTTCCCATTATTGAAACAGATTTTATGAGGCTTAATATGCAATTTTGCTGCAAAAAATTTGGTAAAACTTTGGTATGCATAGCTTATTGTTCTATTTTTCTCTGCAAGACAGGAAGTAACTATAATAATTTTTAAGAAAAGAAACTGATGTGAAAGTATATAGATGTTTGTCTGCATGGAAAAGTAAGTGATGGCTCTTATAAAACCTGTTATATAAACCATTTTATCCATCTGTCAGTACTGCCAAATGCATTTTACATATGCTCCAGGATATACAGAAACACCGGCAACACTACATTCCTTAGAATAATGGCAGCGACAATAGGCTCATGACTTACATTTTCCTGTAATTGAACTAAAATTGAGACCACCACCACTGACAGTTTTGAGCAGGAATTAAATCCAATGCCCATTGGGTTAAATAAATCAGCAATCATTTGCTGCTTAGATATTCTGACAAACATGGATAAACACTGGCACTTAGTGGACATTAAGTTTTATCTAATATTTCAGCTTTCTCTAATGCATCTTCTCTGCAAAGAAGAGAAAAAGAATTTGAACCATGTTCTTTCAGAAGGTTTGGGATACCTTTATCCAATTACACTATTTTCCTTTTTGTTTTTTTTTGCAGTTACATTTTAGGGAATTAACTTTTCAGTGTCAGAAAATGTTTCTGTTAGCTTAAATTGCTGTAAATACCTCAAGTTAATTAGCTCAGGTATGAGACTGTTGCCACAGTAAGTTCTCTCATCCAGGCACTTCCCAGATCTGGAAGTGCTGATGTGAGAGGTATCTAGTCTCAATTGGAAAATATCAGTGGCTGAGGCTGCTGGTCAGAGTGGACTCACTGCACAGAGCATGGGAAAGGCTAATTTGATTTCCCTTGAGAGGTCTCTAGGATTAATCTATCAATACTGCAAACAAGCTGAACTCAGATTTGCCACAGATGAGGGGGAGAACAGAAACCCAAAAGCTGCTCCAGCCCTGTTTGAGGAAATTCTTTAAGCTTGAAGAAAAGAAAAGAAATCACCTCCTGAGCACGGTGAGGACATCGGTCATGCTGCGCACACGTTTCAGCAGACTGTCCAGCTTGTGTGGCTCCTCCTTCAGGAACCTCACCGCTTCTACCTCAATCCGCAGGATCGCTCGCATTTTATTTTGCAGTGTCGGGAACTCTCCTGCAAAGAAAACAATTGTGAAGCTGAAGAGGAAATTATGAAAGCCCTGGGCAGTGAAAGATGATTGGGTGAATGTCAATTACTTGAATGCCTATCTTTCTCCAGGGGCCATGCAGCAAGCTCCCTAATCCCAGCTTTAAATCTTTCTGAAAGTTAGTGCCTCCAGATCAAAGGCAAAACTGTTCTCTGTGGTTAAAAGAAAAGAAACAGAAGTAAAAAGGAAAGTACATACCTTTCAGGGTAGCAACAGCTTCTCCCACTTGACGCAAAAGAAAGGCTCCATCTTCAACGTCTTTCAGTGTAACTGCCTTGCTGGAAGCAGCAGAGTCCTTCTTCAGGTCTTCAACAAATGTCTCCAGCTCACTGGCAAAATAAATAACATGGACAGACAATTTAATCAGGGCTTTCATATTGCAAGTAAATATATGTAAACAAATGGAGTAAACTAAACTGGAAACCTCAACTGAACTGTGGCACCTTCAGATCTGACATCACAGGCTAAAAAAATGACAGGATACCATGAGGGAAGGTGAGAATGCTGGACACTCACAGCACAGGAACAGGCTTGTAACTAGCCCAAGTCATTGACTTTTGTGACAGGCTGCAGATGTGCAGAGCATCTTGACCTCAGGGCAGCTATGCTACAAAGGACAGGTGGGCTGGTGAAACACACCAACAGCCAGCAGCCCTCTGGGGATACAGCTGCTCGAAGGGTACAGACACTACAGACACCAGTACTGGTTTTCACCTTTTTTTCTCTTTGACATACAGAGGGATGACCAACAGTTAGGATACAACCCAAAAACTGGCACCAAAAGCCTCTTGATAAACCTAGTTTATCTGCCAGGTACTGCTAGACAGGACACAGGATTCTGTTTCTGTGAAGAGCCAGACTGAAACAGCAAGTGTGCATTGTGTGCAGCTCTTGCTCAGCACCTGGATTTAAGAGTGAATCACTTTGGATGTTCTTTCCAACCAATGCCATTCTGTGCTTACTCCAGCTCCATCTGGTGCTTCCTTCTCACCTTTCCAAAGATTTTTTGCAGTCTTTCCATGCTTCACATAAAATTTTGCAATACCTGAGACACATAAACTGGTTTTGCTTGGGAAGCAGCCACTTCTTTCCATTTGAGACAACATTGCTTTATCTGGAGTTTTCCAAAGATACAAAAAATTTTCTCAAAAAAACCCCAACCCTGAGATGCTTTATGGGCAACTATGCAAATACCCATGTAAACACCTTAAAAAGATCATCTCTTGAATATCTAGGAAAAAATCACTTCTATTAAAATGCCCAATTTACTCACAGGAATATTCTAGAAAGCAGTTTAATTGCAGATAGAAAAAATGCAATGGAAACTCTGAACTGACAAATCAGCTACTCATTTGAACCTAATCTTGGGCATCATTTTTTGCATCCATCGGGGATCAGTTTTGCAGTTGCTGTAAGAGAATCAAGGTAGAAGAGGATTGGCAGAAAAGGGGTATGAGACGCTTGATCTCTGCACCATCTGCAAGTCTTGCATTTCCACATATTTCCCCTCCACTGCCATGCAAAGCCATTAATTTCCCAGACCCATCTCAGTGAGGAAGAAAAGTAGGTGGCCAGTAATGGGATAAAAATAAAGAAAATTCCTTACAGCAGTACTGTACATGTAGGTCAGTTTAAACTGGAAGCACAGTCCCACAGAACAATCCATGGCAACACAACAGTATTTCTCATACACAGGGGAACAGAAAGAGGATTAACATCTGAACATTAAGCATGCACAGCAGAGTTAATTTCAATCTAAAATGAAGAACTTTAGAAGCTAAAAAATTATTTTGAATTGAGAATCATAAATTGTGTCTGAACAGATCACAAACAAGTGGTGGTAAATGATCCTGTTCCCACTTAAAGACCACTTCTCTCAGTGACTCTGCCTTCAGAAAGCTGGGAGAGTCCCAGTTCCCCCAGCACAAACAGACTTGCAGGAAACAATCCATTGGACCACACGATGGCAGCAAGGGAACACTTCTAAGGGTGTTTTTCCAGCGGTAGAAGCTGCTAAAATGCAGGTATCTGCTGTCTCTGTCTGCCTTTGCAATAAAGGGCACAGACACACTCTAGCAGGAGCTGCAGGAAGAATGGGGCTTCTGTCACTGTCACTAAGGCAAAGGCTCCTGCTCTACAGGACACTGCTCTGCAGTCTTGCATCCTCCCTAGTCTTCATGCCCTGCTACTGGCACTGAGGCTGGGCAGTGCTGCTTTGGGAATCATGGGGTATCCCTCCTCCCTTTTGTAGATAAGCACTGGAAGAGCAGCTCCCCAAATATTTGCATTTACCAGGCAATAAAACAGATAAAGAAAGATGCTTAAATTTGTTCATGTGTGGAAAGAAGGGAAAGGAAAACACAGAACAGTATTACAATGTTTGAAGGACTCCGAGGTAGCTGACAGTGGCCCACTTTCCCCTTTGTTCTTTGAGCAGAAATGGAAGGGTCATCACAAATCCCTTTGATTCCATATACTGCCAAACAAGACAACTGATCCTGAAATTACCCAGGGGATGCCACATTACACTGCTTCATGTTGCTAACTGCAAGGGAAAAGAAACTTAATCCCTTGGGACCCAAAGACTGAAACAGATTTGGTGGTCTCCAGAATTTCTCTTCTCTCACTAGGGAAAACACTTGGCTTTACAGACTGGCCTGAGCAAATTAGCAAGATATGCACATTAATGCAGTTTCAGAAGGCTAATATAAGAGAAATAATTTTTCTGCATCTATATTCTACATGGGGAAGCCGAGGCAACTCTTATGCTGAGATCTTTCTTTAGGCAAAAAAAGCCTCAGAGATTCTGCCTCAGACTGCAGCATCAGTAGAACAGGGTACAAAACAAACTGACAAAATGAATGGTAACAAATCACCCAGACCAGATGGTATTTGCCCAGAAGTTCTATAGCAACTTGAGGCTGAAACAGCTGAACTATTCATGCTAAGCATCTAACTTCTTGATTAAAATTGCTTTGGAACAACATTAGCAGAAAGTGTCATGAATTATACAAATAAAAAAATTTTAATGGTATGGGGATATAATGGGAACAGTACTCTGATGAGACTGACATTTAGACAGGTGTGATGGATAGGTATCAAAATACAGAGTAAACAATAAAGAATCAATGAACAATGGATAAATTTGCTGTGTTAGGTAGGAATTAGCATGGCTTGTGTAAAATGAAGGTCAGTTTCACAAATCCGCAAACAACAGAAGCTTGGAGACAAAGTACACTACAAAAGGCTTTCAGCAAGGTGTTTGAGGAAAAGCTTTCAAGAATGCAAAGTTGTCATGGGACAAAAGGAAATTCTTTCATGGATAAAGCACTGAAGCGAAGATAAGGGATCAATGAACAGCTAACTCAATGAATGTACTTTGCTGGTGGGTTCCACAGGGACCACTGCTAGGGCAGGTGCTTTTCAATATACTATAAATAATTTAGAAAAAAGGATGAATAATAAAACAAAAAAAATCTCAAAAGGCTATTATATTATTCAGGGAAACGAAAATGAAAGGTGGCTGCAGAGGACTGCAGATGGACCATCTGGTACTAACTGACCAGAAAACACCAAAGATTAAATTAACTCCTCATACCTGTAAAGTGTGCCCATGAGAAGAGGAGAAATGAAACCAAAATCAATCCCACATTAAAGCAATAACCTCCCAAAACCCCAAGGTTTTATATACACTGATGATCATCCATGTGAGTGAGATGTTGGATATTTAATGTAAAGCTCCTGTGGAACAAGAGGACAGGGAGATCACACCATGCACGAGGTCACGGTGTGCCTGCATCCAACAAAGCTCTTGCAGGGCTCTCCTGTCTCCCCATTCCCATCCCACAGCTGTGCACCAGAGTTAGAAAGGGCAAAGAGAAAGGCAACAGGATGATGAAATGTAGAGAAAGGCTTCTAGAAGGTTAACTAAGCAGACTAAGACTTCTCAGGCTGGAAAAGGCATGAGAGGGGGGAAAAGGGAAGGGAAAGGGAGTGTCTATAACATAATTACTAGCATGGCAAGGGTGAATATTTTACTGTGCATTATTTAAGAGTCTGGGGATTGATTGACAGATGAACAATTCAAAAACAAATGAAAGAGATTCTTCTGATATACTTCCCCAAGTATCTGCTACTAGTACCTCTCCCAGATTGCTAAGTGAAGTTTTGTTTTCATGGAGCATGGTTATTGTTATTAAAAAAAAATCTGATACTTTTCCTAACAAAGTATAAATTGTAAGCTACTGTGGATTGTATCCAATTGAACAGTTTGGATGTGACTATAACTTAAATACAGTGCTTATAACTCCCTTCTATTAAAGTGCTTAAAATCTACAATATAGAGTGGTCACACCTCTAACATGCTTGTTATGACATAAATACTTCATTACTTAATGTATCATGACATCGTAATTTGTCTTTGGTAATTCTTAAATCTAGTATCTACAAGTGCTATATATAACATCTCTAATGTGGAGTCAAAAGACTAGATTGAAAAAAACCTACACATTTCATTCTGAGTGTGTATTTCACTGTCACACAAGTGAACATAAACACTATGTTTAATAGGTTTCATTAGATATCCTCTGCCACAGTGGTGACACACATGGGCACACTTCTGTAGGCACCATTATGAATCTGTTGAGCAAGATTTCTACTCAACAGAATGCTTGCTTTGAAATGTACACCAATGTACTGCCAATATGTTTATTTCCTTATTTCACAGAATCACAGAATGGGAGGCACCACAGTGGGTCATCTGGTCCAACCTCCCTGCTCAAAGCAACAATCTTCAATTGCAGAAGAAAGGACTTTTTAAGCTAAGATTTACCACCTAAAAGTAGTAAATACACTTTTGTAAGTATTGCAGTAATCTTACATTCCAGTGTCTCACATGAAGACATTTATTCACTGATTTAGTCTTATGATTTTTAGAGGGTGACAGTTGAAATCCTAAAAAATGCAAATATTGTGCATTGTTGCTTTGCATTTGTTTGTATATCTGCAGTGGGATCAGTTTAGTTGAAAATGCCTATAAATAATATAACCTTTTTCTCAATAATGTCAGTGACATTTGATGTGTAATTTTGTGCTGCATGCTCTTACTATGAACAGCCATCAGCTGCTGAAATTATTGTTGTCAGATGTACTTTTCTTTTGGGCTCTGCCCTTGCAAATGGGAAAATACATGACAAAGGAATCTCATTGGACACAAGTGATTAAAAATAAATGTTTTTTTCTAACATGTCTCTAAAAGAGGTGAAGTAACACTTGAATGATTTAAGAAATTCTCCTATAACCTTAACAAATGAAGTAGCACAGAAGTAGCAGAAACTATGGGAACAGGAAAAATTCCAAAACCTGGTAAAACAGAAGCACTTTGCAATCCAAGTCCTATCCTTAATGAACAGCTGTAACAGCGAATGCCATTGGCACTTGACCTCACTCTGTATCCATTTTATGAGTCAATGCCATAATCAGCCATCACACAAATTGCTCTTTCCATAGAAAACAGACAATATAGGAACTTGGCAATGAGATACACAGGAGTGAAGTGAGGAACAGGAAGGGCATTACTTAAGACTACAAATCAGCTGAGAGGATTAATTACTCTAGCATGGACCATTACTGAACATTCAGCCTTTCTTCACCCAACCTTCTCTTTACAGATACACCTTTTGTATTACAAAAAGTATTAATCTCACAATTTATTGATCAACAGGAAGGATTTACTCTCTTCAGCTGTCAGGAACTGTACTCTGTGGCTCTTCAGTCATAATTTCCAATGATAAGCTGACTAGAATTTTTTTCTCTATTATGGAGCAATTCTTTAGGTGTGAAATGCAGTAATGAGAAATGATTAGTTATATAATATCTTGCAAATGTGAGTGTTAGAATTAGTTAAACTGTTTGTTAATTTCAGCTTTATTTTGGCTCCTGCTGACTCTGAACTGAATCAAACAAGTTGATCCCACCAGTCTTGGTGGGCCAAAGTTCTGGGGGAAAAAAGCCAGAATCTTCCAAAGGGCTTTTACATAACAACAAAACAAGGTACACAGTTAAGCAGACGGAAACCTCAGTGACTACATTTTAGACAAGGACTGGCATTGCTGGCTGTAATTAAACTTCACTCCTCTATTTGAGCTTCCCCTACCTCTCCCATGCAGTAGCCAAAGCACTTACTATTGAAATCTGATTTTTGTACTTAAAGGCAAACTTATTACCTTCCTTTGAATCCCTTTGCTCTTGAGGAAATTCCTCCCTCCTTCCCTAAAGCATAATACATAAGGCTGAAGGGGAGAACTAGGGTAGAGGGAGGCTTTCAGAATACAGGGGTGGGCACGGTCCTTACAGTCATCTCTCCCTTTACAGGGGACTTCTGAAAAGGTAGAAGCTCGTGGTACTGCTGGGATTTACCCAGGGGCTGTGCAGAAAAGGACTCCTAGTCAGGACCAGTGAATTGAACAACACAGACATGGTTCTACAGCCAGTGTGATACACGACAAGGAAACACAACTAAAATACCATATACAAATGCAGTTTACCTGGTGGTAGAAGTTTCTAATTTATGGAAGAAAAAGACAGGTAAAAGCAATAAATTTGAAGAGGTTTCTCAACCCACCATAACTTCTTTACAATCTTTTCTTCCTCGCTGAGGTACTTCTGCCTCTCTTGTTCCACCAGGTTGCGCTGTCGCTGCACAGGATCTTCAAGCCTCTTCACCGTTTCGATCACTTTGCCATTGATTTCTAGCTCTGCTTTCTTCACCATTGCCCTCAGCATCTCCTGGTTCTGCAGCTGTTGCACAAAAGAAATCAACTTCAGTTTTTCCTGCTTGACTGACATCCCTGGCAACAAAATACATTGCAGATCTCAGAAGGTCGGGATAAACACCATCCTACAGTGAGTGAGTGTTTTCACCTGCTTTCCCTCTTTAGCTGTACCTATAAACATTATTCCATGTATATATACAGCTTCCAGTTTCAAACTGATAAACAAAATATGTTGGGATCAATATATCACCTTCAAGGCATAACTTCTGCAAGGAGTGTGACCCCTTTATTCTGCTTGGTTCAACATGAATCAAAAATTAATTACGCCTCACGAGAATGCCGGATGCTTGACTTCCCCTTTCCATGTATCTCAGCAGCTTATGCATTTCACAGCCCATACGTGCCTAGTGGATAATCCCACACATTAATGTCATGGCAGGAATGCACTGCTGTTTTCAGAATGGAGATTTTCAGTCTCTCAAATGGCAGAGGAAGGACTGTAACATGTGGTGTAATTTGGTACAGGTACACAGCTCATCTGCAATACATAAAACCTCCTTTACCCACCAGAAAAAACAGAACACCCCCCCCCCACACACACACACACACACTTTGACAGCAATTTTCTGAGAACTTCAAGTCATACCTTCTTTCTTGTCTTAGCCTGATAAGTAACTCAAGCATTAATTGTCTTGCTGATAGTAAGCTCACAGAGAAAACAAAAGTAAGAAGGCAAACTAGGCTGTACTCTTCCGTGGGTAGCCCTGGAGCAGCTACCAGCCATGCTCACAAACCAAACCTGTTTAAGTCTGTTATGCAAATCACAAGATTCAAAGAGATAAGCAGGACTCTACCTAGTCACAGTTTTAGGACACAGGAAACATGAACACAACTGTGTTAGCCCAGGAGCCATTTCATACTGTAAGATGTTAAAAAACACCCGTGTTAACTGGGGACAAAATTCCCATTTTAAAACTAGCACTTGAACTGGCAGGTGTCTTCTAAACATCCAGGCTTAACAGCCAAATCATATTTAACACACAAAATAAATCCATGATCTAATAGGAAGAATCATAAAAATGGGATACCTACAACACAGTAGCAGTAAGCTTTCTTTAAAATCCATTTAAGAAAATTTATGAGAATAAAAAAAAGTGCCTTTGCTGAGACAATTCTTTCCAACCAGTATGGGCATGAGAGAAACAAACTCAGTTCCTCACTTACGACTGTTCAGTCCCTGTGCCTGACTCTCTTACTCTCTTCTCCAGCTACACAACTTTAATGAGAGGGAGGGTAACACCTCACTGCAGGGGTTGTGTGTGTGTGTGAAATCTGCACTGTGACAAGCAGCAGTTGACTCAAAATTCAGCTGAAGAGAAATGTGAGCAGTTAGTGAAACTATGAAGCTAAAAAACATTTTAACAGCACAGAACGACATAAATAAAATCTAGATTATTTTGAAGACAATGTGTATTTTCCCCATTATGGGAATAATGTTTGGATTTGATAAATTAAAATCTCTTGCTGCAAGGCCAGCACAACTGAGATACACGCTTCTTTCACTGTGTCATATTTTCAAGTAGGAAAACCTAAATGAATGAATAAATGAGTGAATTAGCATGTGCCACTTCAGGCATACAATTTATTCCCAGCTCTTTAAAAAGTGGAGAAATTTGACACATGGAAGTGAGTTAGGATCTGTGAAACAACTGATCCGAGTTCAGTGAGAAGGTCAGTAACAGAGTTAGACTTAAGTCTCAGGTGTCCAGAAATTAAGTCCTTGATGTTCCTCAGCTGGTAATAGGGACTTCCACTAATAGCAAAACTGAGTATGTGTGAGTGTGTGAGGTTGTGAAATGGCAGGCACATGTGTTTTCCTATTATGGGGGTATGTAGAGGAGCTATATTTATTTTGGTGATGTGTACAGCTAAGGTGTTCGTAGCCTCCATTTATGAAGTGCTTGAACAATACCAGGAAGTTTCAGTCACAAAAGTTCATCTATTTCAAAATGCAACACAGCAAGATTTCAAAAAATCTTGTATGTTGAAGGCTCCCAAACCTCAGTGTTTTGAGTGAGCTCTTTAATTCTGGGATATGACTCAGTCTTGGTATCAAAGAAATGTTTTTACTATTTCTATGAAAATTCATGCAATAATTGGCTAGTTTTGGAAAACCTGAGTTTACTCATGCTTGGGGCACAGGGTCAGAAGATGAGAAGGGAGAGGTACATATGTGTTCAGAGAGACAAAAGGAAGAACAGTGGGAGGGGAGCAATTGTGTCAGTCAGCAGCCAAAGGCCAGCATGAGGCAGGGAGAGCAGGAGCACAGGGAGAGAGATGTGGCTCAGGAGAAGGCACTGGCCATCCCATTTACCTCCATGTTCTGGAACTGAACTTCATTCTTACCTTTCTGCTGCCAGCAGAATCAGATGTGAGACTCCCTGACTAAGCGCACACCCGACTTGCCCTTCTGACCACCTCTGTTACTCCACCAGCTCAAGCAAAAGACATTTTATGGATCTGCCATAGTTATTCTGGTTCCACACAATAGGACCTTTTATACTATAAGCTTGCTTGAAAACAAGCCAAATAAACAATCTTAAACATTAATTCTTGAAGACTCTTTCTTGAAACAGTACTGAAATTCTAAAGGCACGTGCTAAAAGGAAAACCAATGCAGGCTTTCCTGTCACCAACAAATGGCAATTTGCTAATTAGAGTTACCTTACCTTGTTTCTGCAAGAAGCAATCAAACAGAAACAAATTTAGCATGTTTTTTTAGAATTCTAGCATCCTTTCATACAGTCCTTACCCTTGGTTCTCATTTTCAGCCTCGTCAATCTCTCCAGATACCTTCCTTGCCCCTCTTCTTCAACTTGTGCTCCAGCCATTACTGGTCACTGCTCTCACACAAGTACCCCAGCCCTGCCTCTGGTACTCACTCCAAGAATAATCTGATAGCTAGTTCAGTTCACTTTGAACAAATTACTATCTATGAGACAGGTAACTAGAAAACCAAGTATTAGTTCACAACCCTGCTCCTCATTAGGAGATGAGTGTGACCTCCCCAGTGGGAGCTTCCCACCTCCCCTTGAACTCCAGTGCACAGCCACAAAACAGGAGCTGGCTGCCTGCAGCTCAGGACCTCTGTAGAATCTAAGTACCTAGTTCCTGAAGTTTGGTACCATCCATTGATTAAAGCTAGCCTCTCCAGTTCTATAATGCAGCTCAGAATATATATTTGAATTCTGAGTCAAAGTTACACTTGTGAAACTGAGTATCATATACCATTTATGACAGTGTTGCTATTACAGTTTCTGTCCTTTCTGCAGCGCTCACTTCCCTGCAAACTGTGCCCTGAGAGAAGGAAAAGGATGCATGCATGCACCTTCCTAATGGGGAACATTAATCATATCTGTGTTCCCTTAAAGTGAGTTCAATTAAAGAAAAGAAGGAATAGACAAAAAAAAAAAAAAAATCCAGTGCACATATAACCTAATGATATAAACCATATATATGTACTCCAAAGCTTGGTTCAAAGCTACTACTAAGAGTTCTCAATATCTGGGTGCATAGAATGAACAACCCCACTAAAATCATCATGGGCTCAATTCTTACCACTGACAAATCCATTCAGGACAAAGGCTGGGTTACAGACCATCTCTGGCATTGAGGAAAACTCCACAGCACCATGAAGCTAGTCTGTCCTGAATGTCTCTGAAAATCAGAGCACTTAGAACATGCAAGAGGTGTACACAGCCTCTAGCAACAGACATGAGGTAAATGTCTGTGTGCCAAGAATCCCTGTTCAAAATCCAACCACATCTTACCTTTTTGGTGGCATCTTACATTATATGTTTATCTGGTGTGCGAATAAATACATTTGGATCAATTGCTGCTGGATATGGTTTAAAAAGAAGATTTTGCCAGCACAAACAAAGGATACACAAATGAATGGGTCTTTTCTATCATGTATTTCTCTGATTCTATTAAGAAAATTAATATGAACTTATGGTGGTAACATCATATGAAAATTAAACAATAGACAATATTAAACATAGTTTATGTTCTGTTCCTGTTTCTTATTTACCCTGCCAAATTTTGCGCCTGTGCAATCTTTTTCATTTTTTTGAAGCGTTTCTTCTAGTCTGTCACTGTATAAAAAATTCACACAAACAGGAACAAACTGACTGCCAGACCAGGAGAAACAGTGAAATTGAAAAATAGGAAGCACTGTCAAACATGAAATGAAAACAATCTGGGAAACCAGAAAAATACTTTTTCCCTTCTACTTATAATTATTTTTGAAAAAACATAGCACAACATATTTCATTTAAAATGTGATATTGCAACACTCTTCAGTTTAAAACACTGCCTGTTTCACTTGCTGCTCTACAAACTGGGAGATTTTTTTCAAAATAGCTCAGGAATGCCATGACAGAAACTCTCATCGATGGAATTTATATGTAACATACCACAGTTTCTCTTGAGCTACAGGTTCTTCCAACATTTCTCAACTTCCCACTAGCTCAATGCACCAAGTTTGCTATAATTTCAGAATTAAAGGAAGCCAGCCAGAGTTAATGAGCACACTCGGGATATGTCCTTTTTCCCTTCTCAAGACCTCCTTGCCAGCATTGATTTGTGCAGATGGTAAACATTTCTTCATTCCTGTGTGCCACAATGTCACGTCTTCTGCCCCGGGCAGGGCCACAGAGACAAAGCTCAGCCGGGGAAATGCCACCTCCTTGGTGGGCAGCCGTGTGAGAAGGATGGACTCCCTGCCTCCAAGCAGCACTGCGGACTCCAGCCACTTTCCGAGGCCACATGCTGAGCACAGCTGGGGCCCAGACCGACGGCATTTGCCAAGAGCTGCATTTGGCACATGGCGCGGAGAAGGACACAGGGGCTGCAGAGGTTTGCAGCACAAATGTGGAAAAACATGCACTTATACATAATGTGCCAGGGCAGAGATCAAATGCCAGTGTCTTCAAATCAGACGAGGAACACGATGGCTGGCACGTAGGCAGCACTGCTGAGAATAGCTTTTGAAAGGGACATTTGCTGTTGGAGCATACTCATCCTAAACTGAAAATTTAAATACGTGGGAGCTGTATCACAGGCAGAAGTCACCTGGCACAACTCTCTGCTCCAAACATCTTCTGCCATCTCTGCATTCCCAGCAAATAGAGCACAGGATGTTGTCACAGGACCTTCAGTTGGACACATTTTCCTATACTGATGTTTACTTCACCCTTCTGCTCCTTTGCTTTATGACTGGTTCATAATTTAATTTTCTTTAGACGAGGAGGTGAAGGTAAAACATGCTCTGAACTCTGATCTCTATTATCATTATTTTGTTCTAAAATTTATCAGCAAATCAAACGTGACTGACATGGTACCATCACCCTGGATATAAAACCAGTAGCTGCAGTCCTACAATAGCTAACATGTGACGTCACTTTCCAGCTAAGGAGGACTGGCAGAATACTGAAATTTCTCCAACTGTCCAATTTGTCTTACAAGAAAGTGCTCTGCCTTCTTTTCCATCTTCTGGGACAATACACAGTGCTCTTCAATTTCCAGTTAAGTAAAAGGCTGAAGACCTGTACAGCTGCATATGCTTATTTTTATAGTGTCTGAGATGAACAGAATATATTTACATTTGCAGCATGACTGCATGTGCCAACATACTATTTTTGTTAACTCTTCATTGGTTGTATTCTTTCTTGCAGGTTTTGAGGTGTTGACATGTATTAGGAAGGTATTGCTGAGTGTAAGTAGGACACAACAAACCTTTGCAGTAACATTTGAAAGACCTTTTTTTTTCTTACTGTTCAAGTTGGTTAATTTTCTGGATACTGTAAATACAGGACTCAAATTCTGGCTTAATACATATCTACTGATCTTCAGCTACATTTGGGTTTCCTGACATCAAAGTTGTTTATTCAGGGACTTAAGATTCATCTCAACTGTAAACAGTATGGAGCAGGAACATGGTTCTTCTGACATGTTTATATAGCACATAGCATAGCAGGGTCCAAAATATAATCACAGACTTGATATTACTGCAATATAAATAGTGCTTTAATGTATAGGGTGTCCAACAAAGCTAGAAATGAAATTTTTTTTTGCAATATCTGAGCAGCAGTAGTTTAACTGAGCTAATTCTCACACCCTGAGGACTATGCAAACTTTTGTGTATGTAGTAGTTGGGTCTGCCCTTTGCTAGAACTCTGCTACTGAGACTCACTTGTACACAAGGTAAAAGAGAGAAAATGAGAGAAGGGGAAGGAGGAAAAAAGGCATTTGCTGACAACCCACCTTTTTCCCCAGCATTATCCAGATAACCATACCTGTAGCTGCTTCATCTGATGCAGCTGCAGCCGCAGGTCCGACACGTTGCGTTTCATGCCATGCAGGCTGAGGTGCATTGCTGGGGCTCCAGCGGGGTGGTGGGTGACAGCTGACTCCACAGCTCCCACTGCATTCTTCCCCCCAGATATACTGGCAGCACCTGCAATAAGCAGCAGTACAGGATGAGTTCACAGCAGAGAAGGTGCAAATGTGATCCCTCCTCTGCCCACAGGTATCTCACACAGATGGACAAGAAAAGCGAATGACAGATGCCAACGCTCAGGACTAACAGGGGACTGGCACCTCCTTATCCAATATATTTTGAGGGAAGCCTGCACAGTATCAAAGTGTATCTGTGCTGGAACTTCAGTTCTACCAGAGCACTGCATTACTCCAGGACTGCTTTCTACCACAGGTAGTGGAGATGGGATAATAAGCTATAACTGCAGATTACACAAAACAGCAACAAATCAAATTGGTTCTGAAAATAACTTTGGGACTGTCCTCCCAAGAGATGTCTGAGACCAAGTTGATGCAAATTCATTCATAGGACTACTGAACTACATATTTGTTGATTAATCATGTCAAGAGATGGATTCCATCAAGCTTCCAAATATGGGGAAAAGATTTCTATAAAAAATCTTATTGCACTGCTTAAAGGACAATTGCATTATTTCTACCAGGTATCTCCAGCATCAACCCTATAAAACCAGAGAAATTAAATGATGGTGTGGCAGAGGTTCTCAGCCATGTTGCATCCACCCACTCCCTTTTAGTCTGTCAGAAAGGAATACAGCATAACACAAGGAAATGAGCTGAGCCACACTCTGAAAATAAGGATTGTTGTCCTCATAAAACTTTCTTTGTTAAATAATGCTATGCCTCTGCACAGGAACAATGCCAAGGTTGTTCTTTTCAGTCTCAAGTACCTGGGAAGAAGCTCTATTTAGAGAGAACAAGCAAATTCCAGCTCATGAGCTAATAGAAATGTCAGCTCTTTCTCACAATTTGCACTTACACACCCGTATTCTTCAAATTCTTTTTCTAATGTATCCCTTCCCCCTTACCCCCCACTCCCCCAGCAGACAAAATGACAGACTATCAGTATGACAAACTTCATTTTTTAAGTTCAGTACTACATAGTCCTGCAAACTCTTCTCATCACATTGTCAAATGCACCTTATACCTTAGCTGCTGCTCCCTGAACTACGGCCCCTGACTACAAGAAAGACATTGAGATCCTGGAGCATGTCCAGAGAAGGGCGAAGGATTTGGAGCACAAGTCTGATGAGTAACAGCTGAGGGAGCTGGGGGTGCTCAGTCTGGAGAAAAGGAGTCTCAAGGTCCTTATTGCTCTCTAAAGCTGCCTGAAAGGGGGTTGGGAGGAGGTGGGAGTTGGTCTCTTCTCCCAGGTAATAAAAAATAGGACAAAAAAAATGGCCAGCCAGGGGCCATTTACAGCCAGGGACATTTAATATTAGGAAAAATTTCTTCACCAAAAGAGTCATCAAGGATTGGAAGAGTCTGCCCAGGGAAGTGGTTGAGTCACCATCCCTGAAGGTATTTAAAAGATGTGTAGGTGTGGTGCTTAGGGACCTGGCCTGGGGTGGACTTGGCAGTGTTAGGTTAATGGCTTGACTGGATGATCTGGAAGGTCTTTTCCAACCTAAATAATTCCCTGATTCTATTCTATGATTAGGTCATTCCCTACTTCATTTTCATCCTTCTCTATGATTAAACAAAAGAAATCTGAAGAAACAGAAAACAGCTCATCAATGGATGAGAAGGGATTTTGGTCATCATCTGTTCCCACAAGCACACATTCTATCAAGTTTAATGAAATCAAACAAAAACCAGTGTTGTGAGCTTTGCCTGCTGAAGGCAAATTTTCAGTGCACTGAAGTGCATGACACATCTTCTGCCTGGAATGAGTGTGACTCCTAGAGTGGGAAGTTCTCTCCCCATGCTCTCATCCCTTGTAGTCTTTTGAACTATTCCTCCAAATGTCCTGAGTAGAGCTCAGCATAACAACACACTGCTAGTCCTTTTCCAACAGGTGTGGATACCTCAAATACAACCTTTGCAAAATTCATCTGGGGGAGGCATTCTTAAAGGATGGAAATCACACCAGCCTATTTTTATTTTTTAAAAAAGGTTTTTAAGAATCATGTTTGTTACTTTACCTTCATTTGCAATTCTGCTCCATAAAAGCACAGGCCCCTCTGGCAGGATCCATGCTACATACAGTGTGCCGTGCCATGGACTTCTGGAGACATGCTCAGGCAAAAGGCTCTTCTAGCTTGGGGCAGGCTGTTGTAATGCTACACTGTCCCTGAACCTGCTCCAGCTAGATCTGCTTGGTGCTTCAACAACAGCACTCGTCATTACACTGCTGAGCAAGCTGCTGCACATTTTTGCTGTACTCCAGTATGATTCAATGGTCTCTTGACTTTCAAAGAGCTCCTTAAAAGAAAGCAACACTCAAGAAATAAACAGTCCTTGTTCACTGCCATTATGTACCCACTCCATGCTTCAGTCCAATGTATGCTAATACTTATCTGTCTACATGTACACTGCACTTTCTCCTACAGTCAAGCATCTATTTCCCTCCCACAGGCACTATTTTTTGCCTTTTTTGTTTAAGAGAATGGTATTTAGTTCATAAACCTTGCAGACAGAAACCACCAGAGAGTCTGAAAAATGTGGATAAGCCTCCAAGAGTTCTGATCCCTTGCCACAAATCTGGACTATTTTTGAAAGCACACCTACCTTTCTGCTGTTCTTTGCCTCAAGCAAAAGCTCCAAAACCTCAGCCCCTGACCCTGTGATGAGGCTGCCAAGGCATGAATCAGACCCCACCAGTCCCTCCCTCCATGCTGGACCCCAGTCAATCCACATATTTTCTCAGGAAGGGGTGCCTGCTTTCCTTTTAGTGTAGATGGACTGTGATCTGCTTCTGTAAGCAATAAATATCTCCAACTCCCTACAAAGCAGCTCTCCTCCTCACTGCTGCCTCAGCCACCTCTTTTCACCATTAGGTGCTCTTGGCTGCCACAGTGTCCCTGCTGCAGAGTGCCCAGGGCCTGGGAAACATGCAGTGGGACTGCAGACTCCAGCAGATGTGAAACACAAGACACTTAGTGAGCAATAACAATCAGCAGCTGATTTCTCACATATTCATATTTTCATCAAGAAAGAATAAAAAGGCAGCTGAATGAGGGGCTGCTTCATCTAGGGAGTGTAGCTCACTGTTGGAAGTAGTCCCAGGCTGTAGCATTGTGATTAGATGTGAGGCCAGATGGGTTAAAGGGAAAGAAACAGCACTGGCTCTTGAGTTTTTAAAGAAACCCCTTCTTGAGCTAGGTACGGGAAATTCAACCTCCCACCATAATTTCCTAACACTTTGAACAAATAAAAAAAGTTAACTTTTTACAAAGGCTAATGAACTAAGCTGCCATTTTAGAGTACAAAGAGAACTGAAGTGTAGAAAGAGGAAAGGTTTGCTGTGTGCTCAGGGGATAAGGAACACGACTTCTACTCCCTGACACTTGACCTTTGCTATGGCTGTAAAGACACTGCTCTCCTTCTGTTTTCCAGATTTTTTTTCTTTCTAAAATGCCAAGATTTTATTTTGAAGTCGTTGGCACAAAAGGCCATCAGAAGACACTCCACTGACGTTTCCCGCCCCCCCCCCCCAAAATAACTAATCTAATTAAAGAGACAAAATATTTTCAAACATTATTTGGAGAGATGTGACAGTTACTAGATGGCACTAAATCAGCCTCAAAATAATAAACTATTCTATATATACATTAGTATGCAACTTCACCTCATTGATCCAAATTTAATTCAGGATTATATTTTGTCTGCAAATGCTGACAGAGTTCTAAGACTAGCAAGATCTGTCTTTGAATCTGAGATAAGCAAACAGATATGGACAATGATTTAATTCAGAGGTCATCACAGCAAGAGTCATGCGAGAAGGGCACACAGATATGCACAGATGACAAGACAGTTCACAAAGAACGAGGAATCCAATCTGAGTCCTACGTTTGTAATACTTCCCCCTGCTGCCATCTCCCTCTTGTTTTGTATAGGTGGTGTTAATGCAGAAAATTGTACTCCCTGATCCCCTTCTCATGGAATACTGAAAAGTCTTACTTCCTCTTTTAACAAGGCAGCAACTAGCAAAAAGATATTGCTTTTTTTGGTAATCCATGAAACAGCTGATCCTAATTTAATAAATGAATCCAGGATTTAGTCTATCAATCTCCAGCTGATGAACAAAATTATGACAGAAAAGAGAGTGTGTAAGTATTTCTCAGGGTATTTGTTAGTAATCTCATGGTGACTCTTACTAGTATGGTTTTAGAATCATGTGTTGTTTCTAAGTGAAGAGTTTCTTGATGCCATTTGTGTCTCAGGAACTGAAGATCTTTATAAGGATTCAGAGATGGAATTTCTCCTGACATGAGCAGAAGAGACATAGCCAGTCTGTGGAGGGTTACTGCTCTTTGAACCCATCCCCCCTGAAAGAACTGAGCCTAAAGCAATAAAAGACAAGAAATGCAGACGAGCATTGTCATTCCAGACTCATCTTCCTCAATGAAAAAGCTGGGTTTCTTCAGATTCCTTAAAATTGGGGGCTAAAGAAGTCACTGGCTTCTACAGACCAGCACAGCAAAAGCAAGTTAAGTACAACAATTTGGTTCATATGACATACCAAACAGAATATTCACAAACTAGCTATATAGAGTTATCTAGGGTTTAGAAATCTTGGTTTCTTTCCCATCTCAAGGGATATAGTCTATTTTTTGCACAAAAGTCTATCATTGGAAGACATACTATAAAATACAATGTTTTTTCAACATTGATGACACAATATTATTTTTCACAGATGTTTTATTTTTTAGAATGGGAAGCAATTCACATTTTTGCTTATCAGAGCTCTAGAAAGGACTGTTCAATCAACATTTTATACCACTTTGTCTTTCAAATAGTCTTGGAAATTGCTAAAACTGGTATCTCAGTGCACAGTTGTCAAGTGGAATTGTGAAGTGAGAGAGTCACTGCCTAAATGGCCATACGTAATAAAGATTGGGGTGAACTGAAGAACAAAACAGCGGTCAGCAGAAGTGTCTCTAGCTTCTGCTGGCATGTTTGAACCCAAGCATATTTACAAAAAGGAGAAACATTCTGTAGTATATTCTGGCAGATTGCCTTATTTTCAAGTAAGCCAAACTGCACTGACTCATTGGACCATGTCCTGAGCAATTCCAGGCACAAAAGCGGGAAAATATTCCTTTATACAAGACTATTCTTTTACACAGCAGTCTTCAGTAATAGCTGTTGTAGGTTACAATACTGCAGTGTACTGGGGTCAGCACACCTTGTTTTCCTTACCTGCTACAATTTAATTTTGTGCCTGAGTCATGCTGGAAGGACAGGATATAGGGATGGATGTGCTGGTGTTACAACCATACTTTATAGCACTGCCAGAGATCCCTGCAGACTGCTGGCTGCATGGCTGTTCCCACTGTCCTATCCCCATCTCCCAGGTGATAAGAAAGGCATCTAGAGCACAAGCTGAGTGCTGGAATCCTTACTCATATGCTGGACAGGCACATGGCCATGTGGCAAAGCCAATGTCTCTGTCAGTAAGTGACAGACGATGATCTGGCCTGTGACAGTAAATTAAGTCCCCACCCTCCATCTCCCCCTCTATGGTTGCACATGCAGCTGTTAGATGTAATATTATCACTTCAGGGACGTGTCAGTCACATGATAAGGCAGTGAGTGAGAAGTATTTGGGAAAAACAGTGCCAGGAAATGGCTGCTGGTCTGATGAACCACACTGTTCTGGTGGGCTGGGCATGACTTCCCAGGGAATCTTCACTTTTGATTTATGTAAGGTTGTTTTCCCAATGAATACTGTTCCATTTCTCATTTGAGTGCACATTTACACATGCACACACAAACCGCTACATAATTCAGGTTTAAAGGGACCTCTGGAGGCCCAAACTCCCACTCAAAGCAGCACCCACTTAGATCCTCCAACTGAGCGTCCCCCACCAGGTACTTGTCTGCACTGCTTCCATCAGAGGGAAAGCAGAGAGGCTGCTGTTGCAATGCACTACAAAGAGAAACACAAGGCACTGTATGTGCTGGTTGTGATGGTTTCATAAGTGCTTTATATGAGGTGAGGCCTGTGCAAGTGGGAAATGCCGTAAATTCTCAGTCTATAAGGACACTGCAATAGGGAAAAACTGAAGACCATTTTGCAGCTGTTTTGAATAATGACAGACTTTTCACTATATTGTCTGAAACTGAAAAATTACAACTTATTTCTTCAAAGCTTTAAGTATTCCTCTCCCCATCCAGGAAGGGAAGAGTTGGAACAGCACCAGAGAGTGGCTTGGGAGCAAAGCTTCAGTACCAGGACTTTAGCTTTCTCTTTTCCACGCGGTTGATAGTTTCCAGGTCTAGTTTGGTTTCTGTCAATTAGGAGGACATAGTGCAATTCCAGACAAACAGGAATCCTGAACGTGAGCTAACAGCTCCAACAGAAAGGCTAGTTAGGAGCATAATAGGTTTGCTAATAAATATGTGTGGTTTACTACCTGCCGGGCACAGACCTCCCTGTGGGAACAGCACTACCAGGAAGCAGGGAACTGCCTGTATTTGCATTCAGTGCATGACAAAGGGGAAGAGGAGGCACATAAGCACACGAATATCCTGCGGACTTCTCCAGCAACAGCCTGTACACAAAGAGTTTCAACCACATGTAAATCTTCTTTGTCAACAGTTTTAACTCAATCTTTTACACGCTTAACAGCTCTCCAGGTGGGATGCTAAAACAAGACCGGCTCTTACTGGCTTCATAATTGGTGCTGGCTCAGAACAGTTTAGGTGCACGCTAATAATTAGGAACAGATCAATGTAGCTTAATTAGGGAAAGTGCTGTCTTGCTGACTGCTAAATTTCTTGGTGTCATTACATCCGTAGTATCCTAGTGACAGAAGACCTTAGAAAAAGTTCAGGTGACAAGAAAAGGAATTAAATATTTAGTCTTCTATAGCAATCTGGACACATCTAGGGTTAATAACAGATATATACACACTGTATAGACAGGATGAGTCACTGGAAAATTCACCAGATGCAGAGGCTCTGCATCTCATTTAAACCATTCAGCACAGGTGGGAAATTCATTCCAAATACCATCTCAACCTGTCAGAAATTCCTCTCTTAAAGATGTGATCGACTCCCATATCCTGCACTTAAACTTTAGTTCTGACAGTACAGTCATGGAAATTTAAGTAAATTTGACATTTCCATAAGCTGGGATGTTTGTAATGTTAGAGCTATTCATATACCTGAATAGGCTGTAAATTAAAAGTGAATTATCTTACCTGCAGTGTCAGTGCTGCTCTTGCTGGACACAATTTTCATCATCTTCTCACTAAATAATAACAAAAAAAATCGTAATTTTAGTTTACTAATTATTAAAACTGTAGTGAAGTTTATATTCAACAAATTTAATGACCTTGTCTAACATATAGATTTTTAACTTAAATCACCAGTAATTTGTCAGTCATCAGTAATTTTTTTTTAAATCACCTTTTAGTAGAAGTTAAGCAATGAATGGATTATAAGCAGTAGAAAGCACAGAGATGTAGCTACATTAATTCTTTTTATTACAAAGAAGAGTAATGTAGTTAATATCCATCTATCATTTGACATATTCTTCCTCTCTGCCTAGCATTCTCATGGAGATGATGAAGAAACTTAAAAATGATTGAGCATTCAGGATTTTTTTTTACTATTACATTCAAATATATTTTTGTTGATTGATTACTAAAATCATTACAGATGAATTCTGTTTTTACCTAGAAGAATCTTTGCTATTACTTGTATTTGGCCCTTTAAAAAGCGCAGACTGAACAAGACCAGTTAAACTGGCAATCTGTTTCTCCATGGCTTGTATCCTCTCTCTGTAAGACAAGAGAACCGTTTGTTAAAGCCAGATATATTTGCTTTCAGACTTGTTTTTCTAGGTGAACGATTACCACAGGATTGGAAAGACACTACAGAGTTTGTGCAAAGGCCCTTGGGTACAGTTTGCATATACCTTATTGCAGCAGCTTACCACATCTCGGTTTGGACAGCTTTTGTGTTGTAACAGACAATTTAAAAAAATCTGCTTAGTTAAAAAGAACAAAACAAACAACCAAGTAATAAACTTCGAATTACCTCACAAGACAGGCAACTAAAACAATTTGTTAATGCCACTTGGAACTAGTGAAAAAGTATTTTTCAGCATTACATTTGTTTTCTCTTTTACCTACCCTGGGCCAAACTTTTTATTGGTACTTAAGGTTTCAGGATTAAAGACTTTGCACTTCTTCCTGTCACTATTTTTACCTTCCCCAGACCCAGGATTTTTGTCTGGGAAGCATTTAATCTGCCCAAGCTGATGACTTTCCAGTCCAAATCCTTTACACCTGACATCACAACTGTCTGCTTTGAAAAGGACAGAAATGTGACAGAGAGGCACAGAACACCAAATGAAGACTGTACAGTAACATTACAGTAAAACAGATTTTCTTTCATACACATATCCTGAGAAATTCCCAAAAAGCAGAAGAAAAGAGGTGCAGAACTACAGTAAGTATAAGCAATGTTTTCCATAGGATCCGAAGGTCACTAAAGAACAATAACTTTTGGTGGGGGTTTTTTTTTGGTTTTTTTTTGTTTGGTTTTTTTTTTTTTTTTTTTTAATGCAAAGGCTAACATTTGTGTGTTTATCTGTTTGCATAAATCCATATATTAGTCAGGTACCAGGGGACTTCCTCAGTCGGCTCCAAACCAGCCTTTTGCTTACACAGGTGCCTACTTACACATGCCAGTATGTCAGTGACACACCACAACAGAAACACATCAGTATGGCACCTTCTGAAAAGGCATCCCTCTATTACAGCAGTCAAGTGTTTGGGGAAACTTGCAGGAGGAAATTCTAACAGCAGGCTGTGGTTTTGGAAGATGGCTGGGAAAAAATCTTGTCAGAAAGCAAGTGGTTAAGACCAGCAGCAGCGCATGATGAGAGAAGATGGGACACACAGACACAGACACAGACTCAGCATGCTGCACAGCCCACCCATCACCACAGCAGCATTCTGTGCACATGGGAGCAGCCAAACTCTGGCCCAGCTGCAGTTGCAGTTTGGTGGCCAAAGCAATAGCATCAATCAATAAGTCACATAAACTCAAATGTAGGTACCAATAACAGCCAAAAGCAAGCTGACATGATAAAAATCAAGTAACCAGCCCTGCCTGCAACTGGACAGGTTACCCAGGCTAATTATTTCATTCACATTCAGGGAATGAATGAGGTTTCCTGGGACAGCACACAGGTACCATAGCCAGGAGAGACTCAGAGGCACCCAGAGGTTGAGAAAACAGGGCAGCAAAACAAGTAGTGAGATGGTAACAGATACAAACAGGGAAGAAGAGAGTGCTCAGTCAGTTCCCAGCCAGCAGACATGTTCTTACTGCGATTTAATGCAGTGCAGGCATCTTACTTTTCTGTCCTCATGTTGAAAGGTATTTGAAGGGTGATGAGAAGACTAGTGAATCTGACTTAATTAATTTCAAACCAAGAAATACGTTATGGATTTTCCACTATTACAAGTTTTAAAATAAGAAACTGGTGCAGGCCACAGTAACCTTTGGAACAAAAACAAGTACTAAAACCCAGGGATAAATATACTATAACAAACTTTAATGCAGCATTTTTGACACTTAATAATGAAAACTTTTTTTCCCCAGATAATCATCACAAAACCTTCCTGGAACTAAACTCAACTAGAAGTCTATCTGTTTTACCAATCCATAAATAGGATGGGTTTTTTATCCCACATTAGATAATCTGGAAACAATTTTCTGCTTCAAAAGATATTATGGCAACACAAAGCTGATCTTGTCCTTTGCCATGAAATCTAGGAAAGTATGTTGTTAAGAGAGAGAGGGAAGTTCCAAGATAGGAGATGATGAAAAACGAATGAAATACTGGAATCAATGCACTGAACACATTATTTTTCATATGGTAAAAGCATTAAGAATGTAAAGAATCTACATGTGCTCTGGAGTTACTCTGTTAGAAACCAGGCAGATTTTTCCTGTAATAATTTCACTGTAACACCCAGACTTGCTATGGCCATTAGCATCAAACAAAATTTCAAAAACAGGTGCCTGAAAGGTGTCTTTTAGGCATTAAATAAAACAACCTGATTTTTGGAGGTGGTCAGACTGAAGGTGGTGGGAGGCAGCACATTCCAGCATGGGCAGGGAGGGCTGCAGATGGCCTGGTGGTGGGGCTGTAACCTGGGCTGAGGTGGCTGGAGGGCTGGTGGCCCAGTTCTGTCACCACAAGGTCCCAGAGGAGCACGGACAGGATCTGCAGTGGACCCCTTTTCCTCCAACTTCCTTATGAAGGGCTGGAGCAGACTCTGCTCACACAGGGAGGAAAAAATGCTTTCCTCAGGCTGTGCAAGGCCAGGCTCTATAAGGGACACCAGCATTGCCATGACAAAAATTGTGATTTTTGGTTCTCAGCATTGTGTTTTCTACCCCTGCTGTGGAGGGGGGCGGTGGGACCAGCCTGTCCCAGCAGCTCTGCCTGCACAGGACAGTTCCCAGGCCTGGGACAGGCTGCCACGGCAGTGACATGGGAAAGACCAAGGTTCCTAGGGCAGAGGACAGGCTGGCACTCAAGTGACACAGGGCAGGCTGGATGTGGAGCACTGGGACAGAGGGTCAGGCAGACAGAACAAAGCGGTGCCTCTGCTTGCTGCCAACAGAAGGGTGGTAGCCAGAGAAGCGCCAACCCGTCTCTGCTCCAGATTAATTTCCCAGATAAAGCTGCATCTCTCCACCACCCAGGAAGAGCAGGGAGGGTCCCTTTTTACAGCAGTTGGGAAAGAAATGGCTATTTTATCAGCCCGAGCACAGAAAGGCATTGTTTGACATTGTTTTCCCGTGAATGCTGGGAGAGTCGGAGGTGGCAGCGCGGTGGGGGAGGAAAGGAGAGCACAAGGCCAGAAGTGACGCCCAGCAGAACTCTGTCAGACTCGGCTCTGGCTTCTCACAGACCAGGGTGGCAGGCCAGGAAGGCAGGGACCCCAGGCCAGGAAGGCAGGGACAGGCCATGTGCCAGCCCTCTTCTCCCCAGCAGCCTGACCCACAGCTCTGGCTCCAGCCATGTTCAGGAACTGGAACCCTGTCCTGCCCTGCTCCTCAAATTCAGCAGAACCAAAGCAAGCCCTTGCTTCTCTGGGGAGTGTGCACTGATATGTCAGATTTAATCACCAGATTTCTTCCTTGCAGCTTCACTGATCTTTCACGTTACTCCTTCCATTGCAGTTAACTGGAAGTAATTCCAAGAAGGGATACAGCATGTTGCTGAATTGGAATCCACTTGTCACAACAAAGCGTGACATGTTACTTGCACGTTACTTCCCTTTCCTGGGGAGATCTTTAATATCCACTGAGAAGATACTTTGTACATACACAGAATAAAACTGGTCTGTGTAACTGTTTATTCACATTCCTGTCCAACCCCAGGCTGTGCAGCACGTCACCCACAACAGATGTACTCAAACACTAAAACTGCACCATGAACTACCTGGCACACATTCCTGGAGAAAAAATTTTCTGTGACTTCCTATTTTATAGTTAAGCTCCAAATGAAGCAATGAAGAGGGGGGTCAGAGACAGAGAAATACACATTTCTTTCTATATTACTCTATGATAGAAACATTTCATTATAATTCTTTTTACCTCACTGGGAAAAGAAATGAAACAGGAGTAGACTGTTTTTCCCAATGTCTTTCTCAGAATCAAGTGAAGGTGTCTTAGACTTTATTGCAAATTCCCCAAAACAGATGAGTGAGTGGGTGTCCTGGAAGGGTGGGAACCAAAGATCAGCAGAATTCTTTCTGTATTCTGCTTTCTTCCCAAAGAAGGATTCACACAGGTGAATATGCCAGTCCTCTACGGAGAAGATTTAACTCAAACCTTCTACATCTTGAAGCTAAAGAGGAAAGGAAGCTCTGAAGCACAACAGCATCCCAGAGCCAGCATCTCATCTTCCTACAAGCAGTTCCTCTAACACAAGGAAGACAAAATACAGTTTACCTTTCCTCCATCCTGTGTTGGTCATTTGACTTCATTTTTTCTGCCTGGTTATTCAACACCTTTCACAGAGGAATATGCAGTTTTGGCCCTGTGAAAAGTGTCTGAGACAGTGTATTTGTAAAGCCCCCCTTACAAAATGCTCAGTGCATTGCTGATGGAGTCTGTCACTGTTCATGACTTTACAAACGAAGGTTATTTTTCCTAATGTCTAGAGAGTCCATCTGAACTTCAACATATCAAACAATAAAGTAGTTTTGTGGGGGGGAACAATATCTAATAGTCTACACTTTAGTCATTACACTTTAGTCTTGAACTGCAAGCCATGAGCCAGTGATGTGATTACATTTTGTGGTCGATCCAATGATCATATTTTCTCATCATTTTGCAACATGTGTTAGAAATGCAAAGATTTTAAGTTAAACAGCATTTAATTTAATGAAGTTTTGGACAAACAGCTTTTTTTCCAATTTATCAACATTTAAACATCTGCTTTGCCTGTAGTAACTTCCAGAAACATCCCACAAGCTACATAAATGAGCCACCCAAAAATATGACAGCAATCGCTGTTTAAACAACTTATGCTCACACACAAAAATTTACTCATTCTTCCAGCAGACCTCAGATTTAAGAGATGATGACCCTTTGAAGGTGAACCGCTGTAAGCTGTTGTAACTTCTAGCAGTTTTCTGCACATGAATAGTAACATCTTTTATTTCTTTAAATCTCCATGAATTTCTTTCTTCTCACTGTTGTAAAACAGCTTTATATGGGACTCTTCTGGTAAATTAATTAACTGCGAGAATTCAGTCAATCCTTTATACCACAGAAGTAATTTTGGAAATAGCCAAGGTAAAACAGTTACAAGAAAGCATTACATGAAGCAATTAAATCCCCCTCAACTCTGCCCTAAATAACAGGCTTGATGAAACTGGCTTCCGTGGTGTCAAATTAAAAAGGGAAACTCCAGTAGAAGAGCTCAGAAATATCAGTTTGCATCTCTTGTAGATCCAAATCTGCTCCAGTTAATGTTCCATAGGTAATGGAACCATTTTCTTCAACAAAACCAGGATACAGTCAATGAGAGGTCTTATCTGTTTTAAATACCCAACATATTCTGATAAAGTACAGAGATATCCCAGTTCAGCCTTGAACTGCAAAATTGAAAGAGAATTGAGATGGGAAGAGAGATTCACTTTTACTTCTGACATTGTCACTACCCCTTTAAATCTTTCCCCTGATTTATACTTAAACTTGCATTGTCCTGAGGTTGTGACAGTGCTACTTTGAGGAAATTTCCATTAAGTCATGACACAAGAGATGTTTTCTTTGCTCTCGGCACACTCCACTAGGAATTAAAGCAACAACAGTGCTGATATAATGGGTTTGGTGCCTGCAGGGTCCTCAACCTGCTCCTGAATGAGCCAGGATGGGGAGTCTCTCGTGCCACAGCCAAAGATGAAAAAGACCTCTCTCCTCAGTAGCTCCAAGGCTAAGAGCTTCTCTGTCTGCCCACAGCTGACACCTCTGCCCACAGGCTGACTGAACATGTGCGTGCTGTGGCCTGGCTTTTGGCACTTGGCATCAGCAATAGGATAACATACACAACCTATAGCCTACACCTCATTTTACCATGCCTGGAAGAGAATTAATTCAGCCCTATCTCTACAATCCCAAAAATACTTTCTCACTGAAGTAAACCCATAATGTTTATGGGTGTAAACTCTAAGTCCTACACAAGGTAGGAGATACCATTCTGCCATTATGTGCATCACCCTTCAGGTATCCATAACAACCTTGTAACAGCTCAATCCCTGATGAAGCAGAAAAAGAGCACTTCAACTTGGACAACCCCTTGTTTAGTTTAGTATGGTTTAAACAGTGTTTGCTTTCAAAGTTCATGAAATTATTATAAAGCTAAATTAAAGCTTAGAGCATTTTGTGTTTGTAGAACACAAACCCAATTCTTAATATTGCAGTAGTTAGAAAACAAACCAATTTGCATGAATTCCTTTTGATATTTACAATTATTTTTAGAAAGTCACACTTCCTCAAGGTTAAAAAAACCCACAACCCATAGACAGCTTTCAAAATTATTCTTTCAGTGCCATATGACTAATACACACCATGCTGAATTTTAAGGTAATGTATTTATTTGGAAGTGCAATTATGCAAATGCTGTTTTATTCCTTGTTAATATATTCTGGGACCAGAATTAAAACACCTGGTGCAAAACTCCCTTTTAAGGAGCTGCAGAACTATCTGTATAGTTTCTCTTTATCCATTCACAAACAAACACCCTTGTGCATATCTGTGCAGCTGAGCGAACAGCTGAGATGCCCAGAGAGAAGATAGAAAATTGTACAAATACAAAAGTTCTTGGTGTCCTTCCTTATTTTCAATTCCTATAATGAACTTTGTAAAAGTTTCAATCTGTAAAAGGATTAAAATTGGCAAATTTCCTTCAAATAATTTCCTAGATGTAATAATGGTGGCTTGAAATGAAATTTCAGATACTTGCAACTTTCTCTTGGAAACAGATACATAAAAATCCAATTTCACTGACTTTAGATTGTAATATGCCCTATCTCATACTCTTATGTCATAACTACCAAACTACAAGCCTGTAATTTTTGTGGGTGGCTGTTTTTCTTTATATTTTTCCATTTTTCCCCCTCCAGTGGACTTCATGACCCATATTTTTTTTCTAGCCAAGCATGGCAAGTGGCAACTAATTATTGGGCTAGCTGCTTAGAGACAGGGGAAGCCTAGGGTCTGTATGAAACTCTGTATCTTTCCAGTAGTTAAGGCAATCAGCAGTTACCTTTGGCCTCTGTGAGCTCAGCATTTTCCAGCTATTCATCTTCACTTCCCTAAAGAGCTCTATAAAAGTTAATAGCACCAACAATACGCTAGAGATTAACACAGCTCATATAAATACACAGCAACTGCCTGGCAGTGCAATGATTGTTCTCTCCCAGGGCAGGGTCTAAGGCAGAAGAAGCCTTCACAGACCTCTGTGTAAATGTGGTCCTTGAAAAGACAGGAGAGATCATTGTCATCATTGCAATCGCACTAAAGTTAACAACAGTCAGGTCACCAACTGTTTGTGATGCTGGAAAAATGATTCAGAACAGTATTCATGTTTCGATTTCTTCCCTGGAAAGACTTGCTTTTCTCAGCAGTTTTCCCTCAAGGAAGATTATTGTAAACAACTGTCCTATTTTTATGCAAATTCATGCTTTACAGGAGATAAGACAGTAATGATAAATTCTTCCCATTTCCTAACACTAGATGAGAAAAACTTCACTCCATAAAGAACCAAAATTGTAATATCAGAGTGTCATTCTTAACAGGGGTGAAATATATTCCCTTATTAGCAGGAACAGAACATCATTTGTTCTTGTAACATGATCTGGCTGTCTGCAAAGAAAAATCCCAGTTAATCATTTTATTTTATTATATTTTTTCCAATGACTGAAATTTACACAAATGAAAATAACTAGGGATTCATCATGGGTTGACAATACTTTCAAATTAATAATGGATGGTGTCACATCTCCCCTAAATTACTAACTACCTTGACAGACAGCTAATAAACACTGCAGCCGGGTGCAGCAGCCTCCTACACATTACATTGTCCCGAGTCTTAAATGACAAAGGATGTGCAGATTAGGAACGTTTCTCATTTGCATAAATTAAGCCCTAGCTCTGCCTTACCTTGTCTCCTTGTCCTTGGGCATCGTGGGTGACCCATAGCCAAAAGCCTGCTTGTCCATGGAAGAGGGCATTGCCTCGGCCATGCCTGGCAGGCCAACAGCACTCCGCGCTTTCGCATCCACAAACACGGGTGGTCCTGGCTCCTTTTTGAAGGACTGGCGGCTGGGGGAAGACCTGTCCGGCTGGATGGTGTGGGCAGGAATGTGAGGGCCATGGTGAGGATGAATATCGATCATTCTCATGTCAGCCACCCTGTGGGGTGAGGCTGGAGGCGTCTTAGAGCCAAGAGTGGGCAAATGGCTCTCTGGGTACTTCCGTGACTTTTGTCTGTACAAGGACTGCTCCAGCATTTCAGGCTGCATGGATGGGTTGCAGTAAGTGCTTGATGACCTCATGGCACTGCGATGGTAGGTCACAATGTGATCAGGGACATCCAGGGGGTGTCCGGAGTGCGGTGCAGCCACGCTCATCCTCCCCTCATGAAACAAGTAGGGGTCCCCGTACAGGCTTTCATTTCGCATCAGGGTAAGGTTTTTGTTACCCATGTCCTCATCCGGCTTCACGTCCCGTCTCTCCAGAATGGCGCTTGGGCTGGGCGATATCGAGCGCGAGGCTGGCACGCTGGACAGACGGTCCCTGGGGATGGTGGCATTGCCTGGCACACCCATGGGCCGGCCCCCACCATAGGGAATCCTGGATGGAGAGGGAGGCATGGAGTGGGGCACCGGGGTGGAGGGCGGTGAGCTGGGCATCGCATGCAGAGGGTGTGGGGCAGATCCAGGGCGGGAACCACTTTGGCCATCTCGCCCCGTATAAGCAATTTCCCTCTGCATCTGAAAAGAAAAGGAAAAACACCTCAGTTACAAAATTACTGAATGAGCAAAACATGATGTGGGTTGTCTACAGAAAATTAGGAAATAAAAACAAACCCTTGAGACAAAATAAATTTACATCTGCATAGATAAAACACTTTGGGACTTCAGTGCTTAACAAAAATAACAACTATAAATAGCAACAAAATGGGTTGTATGTTAAAGGAATATGACAGGCTTAAAAATGCTTTTACTTTTGAGAGTGTAGAACCTCACTGTGCCCAGCCATGACCTATCTGGATGTCTGAACACTGTCAACAAGGCAGAAGAAATTTTCTCTCTAGAAAGCATCATGTGCCTGCTCTGGTGCCCTTGGGGTAAGGTGGATAACAGGAAGATGAAAAAGTCAGCTGAGGACTAACTACATAAGAAAAAAAAATTATAATTTCTAAAATTCATGCTGACAATTTCACCTTCCCTTTTCAGCACCTTCAAGAGATCGTAGAAAACTGTGTATCACAAGCCTGACTCCACATTCCTAAAGTTACAGAGCACAAAATAATGTACAGTGGATGTTGCTGATCTGAAATCTACACAATTTTCCTCCCCTTTCACTCCTTGCTTTCATAATGTGACTGGATTCATTGTAGTTACAGTGCAGATGAAGCAAGAAGTTATTCCTGCCCCACCACAGGTTTTTCCACTGGTAAGGGAATTGCAGTGTCAGTATATACACAATAGCTGTTCTTATCACAGCACGTTCTGCACTCAGGAATTAGAAATGACGTTCCCCAGGGCCAGAGATCAATAGTCTGGAGTATCAGAAAGAAGAAAGAAGATAACCTGATTGTGGCTGCAGCAATAATAAATAAGTGTAACAGAACAAAGATGTGTACTGGGATGGGTCATAAATGAGCCAGACAAAAATTACGAAGTCAAAGAGGAAGACGGCATAATTTTTTCATTTGCACAGAGAGTAAGTCTAGTCTGGAATTTTAAATAAGATATAATTAAAATATAACTATTATAACAGTATTAATCACTTTCTAAGAGGGAATTCAACATAGTTGGCTATATAGGCTTGAAGAACCACTGCAACATACTAAGCTACATTGTGTGAATTGACTCTGGCTGTGCGCCACCAGAAGAAAATGACTCCTACTGACTTGAGCAGATTTGGGATCATGTCCTCAGGGACAGGCAGATACAGATGCTTTACACAAAGAGAAGAACCCAGAGAAAGGAAACTCTCCTAGATTTCTACTGTACAAGCTACACAATGTCCTGTTTAGTTGCTTCAGATAAAGCTACAACAAATGGAATAGTATCTGTCAAAGAAACCATAGCCACTAGGATATGCTGGGTTGTAGTGAGAGGAAAATCCCAATGTTATGTTGCAGAGAGAAGAAAATTTCCATGGGAAGATTTGAAAGCAATGGGTTTAATTTCCCTCAGTTTCTGGACTTCATATTCCTGCATATGCTCATTCATTCCTCGTAAGTCATAGAAATCTGTCAAAGAAAAAATCCTATTTTCCACCATAACATCATTTAGATGGAATACTTTAAGATGGAAAATAATTTTAATATGGGACTGAGCTATTACTCAAAATCTTGTGTCTGAGTGCTGTTGTGTGTAACATTATTTACTTTTGCTTTAAAGTAGTTCTTGGAGTACAGAGCTTCAATCAAGGCTCCCTTGGGCTGGGCAGGGCAAAAACACCTGGGCACCCATCCCTTTTCTGAGAAGTTCACCTGCTATTTTAAGCCAGGACTCAGGTGGAGTGTACCAAAGGGGAGACTGTTGGAGCCAGAGAGTGCAGGGTGCCCCGCAAAGACTCACTGGGGCATGTGGGCTGGGCAATGACCTGAGCTGGTCACCAGAAGCCAGGCAGCTTTACCCAGTGGATTACAGTGTCTTCTGCCACATGGTTGGTATATTCTCTCTTTCCACTTTTCTCTCTCCTCCAGACTCTACTAACGGTAAGATTAAAAATATGACGGATTTTCTTCCTTCTCATCTGTACCTCTTTGGTGTGATAGCCTAGGCACACCAAAGAGGTACAGATGAGAAGCAAGAAAAGACCATCCTTTACATTTCTCTTTTCAGCACTCTGTCATATATAGCCCATTTTCTCTGCTGTTTTTCATCTTTTCTCCTCCACCACAAAACCCCCATGTTGCTCAATAAAACCCCATACTCTTCTACATAGGCCCTCTTGAGCCACATGTTCCTGGACTTTGCATGACTCAGGGACAGTGAAAGAGGATATTGAGTTTATCTGAGCCTCTAAATACTGGGTGCTGTCCCACACGATTGCTTTGAGGGCAAAAGGAAGATTTTTTTAGTACAAGCACAGGATCATGTGCTTTTTGACTGCAGCCGTGTAATATGTTTACTTGAGGGTGGGGATTTCTTTAGCACATAGCTCTTCCTTGTTCCTACTGCCTATAGACCTTACTTACATCCTTGAAATGGAAACGTGTCTTATCGATCCTTAGGTGAAAATATGGCAAACAGCTAGCAATCATTTCTGTAAAAAATATTTGAGGGAAAATCACATCACTGAGAATATTTCCCTTTCTGTAGTAAAAAAGATTTAAACTATGTTTAAATATCTGCTGTGGAGGTTTTTGGTCAGTCAAATAAGACTAAAGTCTATAAGATACAGATTTAACTGTTTTTTTTTTAAACTGAGTCTCTATATGCTAAAGAGTCAATGTTCTATAAACCAGTTATACCCTTTATTTCAAGGACTGTTGGCATGCTGAATAACTTGCTATACTTTGAAAATGTCTATATGCACAAAGTCAGCAAACCAGAAAAACATCCACCTAGGGAGGTACAAGAAGCCTTGCTCCTGGTGGCTCGCACAGAGGACAAGGAGAGCCGGTGTCTCTGCAGCCAGGGCTCACAGAGCCGTGCCTGCATGCACCAGGGCAATGCCAGCCAGCAGGGCAATGCCAGCCAGCAGGGCAATGCCAGCCAGGAGGGCAATGCCAGCCAGCAGGGCAATGCCAGCCAGGAGGACAATGCCAGCCAGCAGGGCACTGCCACCCGGAGCCCGGCACCGAGCCTGCCGCTGACTCACGGGCACCAGACCAACCCTTCCACTCACCATGCAGCCGGATACCAGACACACATCCTCACTCAAGCCATTATCTACCATGATCTCAATGTGAAACTCAGGCAAAGGGAAAAATAGGCCAAGTTTCTGACCTGGCAGCCCTTCCCTCTGCTCTCCTAGGCCTCCTCTACATCACCAGAGAACCCATCAACTGGCTTTGCCCCAAGATTTTCAGGCTGCCAAAATACCTACACAGAGCATGTTCCCAAGACAAAGGTTATCCATGCACCCTCTTGGAGACACTGGGGAGTTCCCAACAGACTCCATTAATCACCTCTCAGCCATGTGAAGCTATTACTTTCCTTACTCTCCCTTTGACACCCTGCACTTCCCTGAGGAAAATGCACCTATGCTCTGGAGGCTGGCTCACCCAACAGTAAACACAGCACACCTGCAAAGAATTTTATTGAGACCTTGCAGTCTACGATGACAAAGCTACATGAATATTAAATACTGATACAATACTGGTAAATTACACTGTTTGTAAAGAAATATTTTATGAAAATTGCTCAGGAAAAAAATCCTCTAAAAGTAAGGCAATCCTTTACTTTTCTAGTGAGGAAAGATTTAATTAAAGAACACTGAATCCAACAACAATAAAATCCATTAGTTTGTTCTCTCTTCATAAATATAAATTGACAACTTTACTGTACTAGTTGTCCAAACCCCTCAGCTTCACCATTAGTTGCACTATATGATAACACTTCTATCATGACTGGTCTTTCAGTCCAGCTGGATTTGGAGAGCTGAAAGCACAAATCCACTTTTGAATTTTTTTTTTTTCAAATTTTTAAATATTTGAACATATTTTTAATGTATGTAAAATAAGATAATTTACAATAAGAAAAAGTACACTTGAAAACTGCAGAATTGGTAAATAGTAAAATGAGAATTTTAAGCATCTGTACCAAAACTATCTGTCTGAAACCAAATCAGACATCACTGAGAGGCTGTCACACTTGTCTCCTCTTGCTTTCTTGTAGAAAGCAAGCACCTTTAAATTTTCCCATTCTTCTAGCATCTATAAATTTTCCCATTCTATTGGGTCGTTACAGAAAAAAAAATCATGCTGCTTGCAGTTGTGGGTTCCTTCAGCTGCCCAATGTCATATTTGAAAACTTCAAACACATTAGCATAATATTTAGCTGTTTCTGATCAGAAACTTTTCAATTATATGTATTTTCATCAGACAATCTAATCCAAGAGAGCTGAAACACTTCATAAAAGCATCAGTAAAGACAAAAGTTGGAAAAAAACAACCCAGCAGATTTCAATCAACGGTGATGTTCTTTCTAACCAGACATCCCTGAGGTGCTCTAGAACTTTGGCTTTCCAGATTCATAGACCTGGTCAACTTCGCTGGAGTCTGATCTGGGATAGGCAACCCAATTCTTCCATGCTCTCCTCAGCAGGGTGGGTGCTTGGTAGTTTTGGGTTACCAAGCAGTGAGACGTGGGGGTTTCAATGGCCATCACTCCTTGGCAATGCTTGCAGACTAGTTTACTTGGTAATTTTGTCTAAGAATGCCAAAAAAAATTATTTCAGACCATGAAACCACTGACCTTGCCTATGTTGGAACCTGGCCTCATTTGAATCTGGCCCAACAGTATAAGGTTCTAGGAGCTGCCAGGGTTCACAATTGTTTTTCATTAGGGGAACCACACGCTGGTAAAATAAAACTGATTTCAAACATTCAAACTTCCAATGAATGGGGAAGTACAAGACCCAGCTAGCTATTCTGAACATGTTTCATATATTTCTATTATTTTTCCCTGGCTAATTTTCCAGGAAAGGAGTTGCAGAGCTCCCTAAGAAATCTCAACATTTATAATGAACTTCCCAGTATTAGCATGCACCTAGATATCAATTCTTTCAGCCCTTCTGTATAGTTTTG